GGTGTCGTCAGCTCTAACCCTCCGCCACATGGGTCACCACGGCCCAGACCGTGGTCCTCCTGTTTTATGTTACTCTACCTACCACCAATCCAGACTTACTAAGACCTTTCTTTTTTCTTTCTTTTTTTTTTTTTTTTTGGGGTCCGGTTGTGGGGCCTGAACTCTGGGCCTGGGCACTGTCCTTCAGCTCTTCAGCTCAAAGCTAGCGCTCTACCACTTGAGCCACAGCGCCACTTCCGGCTTTTTTTTTCTTTTTGCTTATGTGGTGCTGAGGAATCGAACCCAGGGCCTCAGGCATGCGAGGCGAGTGCTCTACCACTGAGCCACCTTACCAACCCCATGCGAGGCGAGTGCTCTACCACTGAGCCACCTTACCAACCCCCTTACTAAGACCTTTCTATGGCCTGTTTTCACTTCATGATACAGGAAAATGTTTGCAAAAATAGTTACAGTGAGTTTGTAGTATTCTACTGAGTGGACGCTGATAATTTAAATAATTTTCCGAATACTCCTGTAGTGAGTGAATACCCTCTAACCAAATCAGATCATTCCCCTAGGATAAGTTCATGGAAGAGAAGCAGGAATGATGGCACACATCCACAATCCCAGCTATTGGGGAACTGGGGGCGAGGGAAGGGCAAGGTGTAAGGCAGGAGGGTCACGAGTTCAAGACAGTAGCCCAAAAACAAACAAAAATCAATAGAACACACTTTTGTGAGTCTATGTCTAGAATCTAAAATATATAGAAGAGGAATTTTTCAGTTTAAGACTGTATGCAGGGCTGGGAATGTGGCCTAGTGGCACCATGCTCGCCTAGCATGCATGAAGCCTTGGGTTCGATACCTCAGTACCACATACACAGAAAGAGCTGGAAGCGGTGCTGTGGCTCAAGTGGCAGAGCTCTAGCCTTGAGCAAAAAAAGCTTAGGGACAGTGCCCAGGCCTTAGTTTTAGCCCCAGGACTGGCAAAAAAAAAAAAATTGTAAGGCTGATGCATGCTCCCATAATACCTTCCAGAAAGATTTGTAATCATTTGATATTTACATCAGAAATATATCAGAATATTTAGTAGAACCAGAGCTGCACTCATGCTGACAGCACACATTTCAATATTTGCCAACTTGAAAAATGAGACAATCTTTTTTTTTTTTTTCTGTCGGTCACGGGGCTTGAACTCTGGGCCTGGGCACTGTCCTTCAGCTCTGCAGCTCAAGGGAAGCACTCTACCACTTGAGCCACAGCACCACTTCCGGTTTTCTAGTCATTTATTGGGGATAAGAGTCTCATGGAACTTTCCTGCCCAGATGGCTTTGAACCATGATCCTCAGATTTCAGCCTCCTAGGATTATGGTAGCTAGGATTATGGGCATGAGCCACCAGCACCCGGCACAATCTCTTCTTAATGTACACATTTATATTTGCTTAATTATTAATGGGAGCCAAAGTGTGTGTGTGTGTGTGTGTTTGAGAGAGAGAGAGAGAGAGAAAGAGGGAGAGGGAGAGAGAGAGAGCTGGTCTCAGGACTTGAACTCAGGGTCTGGATGCTCTCCCTGAGCTTTTTGTTTAAGGCTAGCACTCCACCACTTGAGCCACAGCTCTACTTCCCACTTTTTGGTGGTTAATTAAAGAGAAGAATCTCATGAACTTTCCTGCTAGGCTGGCTTCGAACCTCCATCCTCAGATCTCAGCCTCTTGTGTACCTAGGATTACAGGTGTGAGCCACCAGCACCCAGCTTGGGAGCCAAACTTTTTTTTTTATTCATTGATCATTTCCTTTTGTTCTATGAATCACTTTTTTGTATAATTTGCATTTTTGTTGTCGGTCATGGGGCTTGAACTCAGAGCGTGGGTGCTGTCCCTGAGCTCTTCAGCTCAAGGCAAATACTCTACCACTTGAGCCACAGCACCACTTCCAGTTTTCTGGTGGTTAATTGGAGATAAGAGTCTCACAGACTTTCCTGCCCAGGCTGGCTTTGAACTGGGATCCTCAGATCTCAGCCTCCTGAGTAGCTAGGATTATGGGCTAGCTAATTTGCATTTTTATTGGAATATTTTTTCTTATTATTTTTCAGTAGCTTCTTCTTTACATAACTCTTTGCTATCTATGATACAAATAGTTTGCTAGTTTCTTACTGGACTTCACTTATGTTAATGTTTTTCTCCTTCCTAGGCCTTGCCCATTCTAGGCAAGTGCTCTATCACTTAGCTGCATCCCTCGCCCCTTTATTTTGGCCACACCTGAGTTTGAACCCAGGGTTTTGTTCTTGTGCTTGCTGGTCAAGGATGCTGTCACTTGAGTCACACACACCCAGCCCTTTTTGTTCTGTTTTGTTTTTTTTTTTAATTGGTCGTGGGGCTTGAACTCTGAGCCTGGGCACTGCTCCTGCACGCTTCAGCTCAAGGCTTGCGCTCTACCACTTGAGCCACAGCGCCGCTTCCGGCTTTCTAGTGGTTTATTGGAGATGAGATAAGAGTCTCACGGACTTCCCGCCCGGCTGGCTTTGAACCACAATGCTCAGAGCTCAGCCTCCTGAGTAGCTAGGATGACAGGCGTGAGCCACCAGCACCCGGCAGTCCGATGCATCTTGATCAGTGTCACTCCTTCCATCGTTCTCTCCCTCTCTCCCCATCCCATACCATCCCATCTCAAGTCATATAGTTCAACTTTTGTGCATTGGATATGATGACTGCATTTGCTTGCTCCCTTCCTCCCTCCATTGTGTGCCCCCCCCCCCGTCCCTTCCCCCCACAGAGCATGTTTCTACTTCCTGGAATAGTTCATTTCCACTTCCTTAAATAGTTCATTAGTTGTTCAAAGGAGTTACACCTTCTCTAAGTACACCATCCTTTAATTCCCTTGTGTGTACCTGCATATCACCCGTATGTGCTATCGTGTATATTTGTATTTTAGATCTAATGTCCACATATGAGAGAAAGTAGGTGCCATTAGTCCCTGTGAGCCTGGCTTACCTCAATTAACATGAATTGTTCTAGGTCCCTCTGTTTCCCTACAAATGACGTAATGTTATTCTCTTTGAGACATGAGTAAATTCTGTTGTATGGAATTGTATGTGCCACACTTCTTGTTCTGTTCATCTGTTGTAAGGCATCTGGGCTGTTGCCAAACTTCGCTATCATGAGTAGTGCAGCAATGAACATGGATGTGCAAGTTTCTTTGCCATGTCCTGACTTACAAAGTTCCAGGTAGATGATGAAGAATGGGATGGCTCAGTAATAGGAAGTTCTATGTTTAGTTCTTTGAGGAATCTCCAAGCCACCTTCCAGGGTGGTTATACTAGTTTACATTCTCACCAATGGTGCAATAGGGTTCCTTTTCTCCACGCCCCCCAGCATTTGTTGTTGTTCATATTCTTACTGGGATGAGCTGGAATCTCAATGTGGTTTTAATTTTGTGTTTCCATTATGGCCAGGGATGTTGAGCATTTCTTTAAGTGTTTATTGGCTGTTTATTTAGCTTCTTTGATCATTTATTGAGTTATTGATTGGGAATTAAGCTTCTTGTATGTTCCAGATATTGGGCCCTTGTTGGATATATAGCTGGTAAAAAAAAAAAATCTCCCATTCTGTAGGCTGCATTTTTAGCTTAGTAACTATATCCTTAGCTGTATAGAAACTTTGTGGTTTGATATAATTCCATTTGTTGATTCTCTCTCCGATTTGATGAGCTCTTGGACCTCTAGTCAAAAAGTTCCTTCCTATGCCAATATGTTCTAATATTTCTCCTACTCCTTCCTGTAGTAGTTTCAATGTTTCAAACCTGACATTATCAGAAACTTTTTGCCTAGGCTGACCTTGAATCAAAATTCTTTCCATCTTCCCCTCCCTAAGAGATTACAGGCAAGAGTCACCATCATCTGCCTTGTTTTTTCTTTTTCATATTGTGACAAGATCTTGCTAACTTGCTTAAGTTTGTCTCAAACTTAACATGCAGCCCAGGCAGAAACAAACATGGTTGCTCAAATTGTCTATTACTTCTTATTTTAGTTTTGGTTTCTCATATTTGTTATGGTTTGGATATTGTGTTAAAGAAGAAAAGCTTGTTCCCTGGCTGGTAGATGCAATCACTGAGAGGAGACTGAGTCAGGAGGGTTTTAACTAATCAGTGGTTAACCCCCTGATGGAGCCGTGTGCACGACACTTGAACTCAGGACCAGAGCACTGTCCCTGAGCCTTTTTGCTCAAGGCTAGCAGTCTACTACTGTGAACACAGCTCCACTTCCAGCTTTTTGGTGGTTCATTGGAGATAAGAATCTCATGGATGTCATTACCTTGGCCATGTAATTCTAACCCCTCTGTACGGTATTTTCACAATTAAAAAAAAAAATTGGAAGGGAAAAAAGTTGCAGACAAAACAAAAAGGATCTCATGGATGGGAAGGTGGCTCAGTGGTAGAGCTTACCCCTCAAGCATGAGGCTCTGGGTTCGATTCCTCAGCACCACATAAGCAGAAAAAGCTGGAAGTGGCGCTGTGGCTCAAGTGGTAGAACGCTAGCCATGAGCTGAAGAGCTGAGGGACAGTGCCCAGGCAGACTTTCCTTCCTGTGCTGGCTTTGAGCTGCAATCCTCAGATCTCAGCCCCCTGAGTAGTTCCGATTACAGGCGTGAGCCACCAGCGCCCAGCTCTGGATCTATAATCTGGTGGTATTATAAGATGTGATGGAAGCCATCACAGGTGAGGCCCAGCTGAAGGGAGCTGGTCACTGGAGGGGTGTCCCTGCAGCTATCCTATGCCCCTTTCTTCCTTAAAAATGTGCTGTGAAGGTAGCAAATGGTGGGGGGCGGGGAGCTCATAGTACATAAGTAAGGTAATGAGCACATTTTTAAACAGTGTTAACCCCCTCCCCCATTTTCTTTTGAATTCCCCTCCCAAGTTACAAAGTTCATTTCCACACAGGGTCTAGTGAGTGTCACTGTTGCATGAGTTCATCCTTTGCCCTGCTGTTTCTGTGGCCCCCATTTCCCTTCTGTGGATTAGACTTTTGAAAAATGGAATGCTACAAGAGTTTGGGTGTCATCCTTTTGCGGGGGCCCTGCCAATCTCCTCTGTTTTGTTCCAGTTTTAGTGTATGTACTGCCGAAGTGAGCACTCCTGTCCGTCTGTCTCTGCTTCTGTCTGTGTGAGGCTGACCTTTTCTGTACCATGTGCTCTCTGCTATGATGTTCAGCCTTGCCATAGATTTGGAGGCAGTGGGGCCAAGTGCCTGCAGACGGAAACTTCCAGATCCATGATCCAAAGCAGATTTTCTCCCCTTGAACTGTTTCTCCCAGGCATTTGTCACAAAGGCAAAAAAATTAAAAATTTAAAAGACTGGCTAATATAATATTTTTGCTGAATGCACACATTACATCTAAATTTCTGAATTTGTGGGCATAAAGTTGCTTATATAGTTCTCTTTTTAATCATGTTAATGACTGTAAGATCTGTAATGATATTCTCTTTTTATTCTGGTAATGATTATTTGGGCCTTCTCTTCGTCAGCCTTGCAAGGCCTTTATAGATTTTGTTAATCTTTCCTTCCTTAAGTTGCTTGCTATGTTAGGCATTCTTTCACAGCATTGAGAAGACCTAACACATCGTGCTTACTCTATTATCTATTAGTTGAGTTAAAGACTCTGATCATGCTGGGTGCCAGAGACTCTGTGTGGGGCTTGAATTAAAGCCCAGGATACACACACACACACACACACACTCCCATCAAGCTGGGCACCAATGACTTACACTTGTAATCCTAGCTACTCAGCTACTAAGAACTGAGGATAGAGGTTCAAAGCCAGCCCAGGCAGGAAAGTCTGTGAGACTTATATATCCCCAGTTAATCAACAACAACAACAAAAAAAAAAACTGTAAGGGGAACTGTGCATCAAATGCTAGAGCACTTGTCTTGAGCAAAAAAGCTCAGGGACAGCACCTACATCTGAGTTCAAGCCCAAGTACTTGCACACACACACACACACACACACACACACACACACACACACACACACACACACACACACACACAATTCATTTCTACTCCCTTTTCCCTCCTCCCCATGGAGCTGTAGCATACTTGTATTAGACTTCTCACCATAGTACATGTATGTGTCTCTTTTTTTTTTTTTTTTTTTTGGGTCCAGTCGTGGGGCCTGAACTCTGGGCCTGGGCACTGTCCCTCAGCTCTTCAGCTCAAGGCTAGCACTCTACCACTTGAGCCACAGCGCCACTTCTGGCTTTTTTCTTTTTGCTTATGTGGTGCTCGGGAATCAAACACAGGGCCTCATGCATGCAAGGCAAGCGCTCTACCACTGGACCACCTTCCCAGCCCCCAGTACATGTGTCTCTTATACAGTGTTTTCTGTTTATTGTCTCTGCATGTCTCAGCATGGATATTTTGTCTAATTTCCAGTCCTTTGTCTGTCTTCCATATATTAACCTTCTGCAGACATGGCTAATAAACCATAAAGTTAAATTTTATTTAAGAAAATTTCCGGGACTGGGAAGGTGGCTCAGTGGTAGAGTGCTTGCCTTGCATGCCTGAGGCCCTGGGTTCGATTCCTCAGCACCACATAAGCAAAAAGAAAAAAGCTGGAAGTGGCGCTGTGGCTCAAATGGTAGAGTGCTAGCCTTGAGCTGAAGAGCTGAGGGACAGCGCCCAGGCCCAGAGTTCAGGCCCCACGACTGAACCCCCCCCCAAAAAAAAAAGAAAGAAAATTTCCATGTTCTGGGACTGGGAAGTTGGCTCAGTGGTAGAGCGCTTGCCTTGCATGCCTGAGGCCCTGGGTTCGATTCCTCAGCACCACATAAGCAAAAAGGAAAAAGCTGGAAGTGGTGTTGTGGCTCAAGTGGTAGAGCACTAGCCTTGAGCTGAAGAGCTGAGGGACAGCGCCCAGGCCCAGAGTTCAGGCCCCACGACTGGCCCCCAAAAAAAAACAAAACAAGAAAATTTTCATGTTCTTAGTTTTTTATGTTTTTCAGTTCTGCACGCTTCCATGTGACTTTTCTAAAAAATAAATTTTAGGTATTTACTCAATTTGTCAGTTTGTAATTTGTGGTACACATATTAATCACAATCATTCTGAAGTCTGATGCCACAATATCAGTGTCCCCTATAGACCTATTATAGTGTTGGCTCCCTTCTTGGTTTCCAGTCTTCTGATCTTGTTACCCAGGATGTCAGGTAATTTTTATTTGAATCATGTGACTGGAATTTGGAGCAGTGACTTACTGATCATCATGGATACTGCAGAGCTGATTAGCTTTTGCTTCTGCGTACAACATGAGGGGGAATTCCCTTGGCTGGGTCAGGAATCTGTCCTCTGTGAAGCCTGGGGAGCTAGCAGATTATCTTATTCCCAAGGATTTTTTTCAGAACTCAGAGTCTTGCAATTGCTACTTTGACATGATACCTCTGAGCCATGCCTCCATTCTTATTTTTCACTTGTTATTTTTAGACCCTATCTGAGAAAATAAAGCAAGAAGTGGTGGTGTGGCTCAAGTGGTAGAACACTTTGCTTAGCATGTTTGAGTTTCTGAGTTTAAACCCCAGTGCCACAAATAAATAGTTCTCATTTCTGATTTCTGTTTGCATTTCCCTCAACACAAAAGATGGTTTATTGAGTGTTTTGGTTTTTGTTTCTTAGCTTATCTCTGGATGGAAGGGCTCTTTTTGGTTTCATTTTCTAGCTTCATTGTCTTGTGATCAGTACGATTTTAATGTTTCTACTTTTGCAACATTTTTATGTTTTCTGAGTATCTTCACATAGGATCAGCTGTTATAAATAATGTTTGTAGGAGAGAAGGGAGTTCCTTCTCTTTCTCGGAGTGTACTGTTGGGTGTGTCCATGGCTCCTTATCGTGCTGGGTCCTCTGTGCAGCAGGTTCTGGGATGCCGCCTGCCATGTGCCCAGTGTGAGACACTGAGGTCACCTGCGTGGTCTGGGGATCCCTGCTTGCCCCCAGTGTCCCCATCCGGCCGTGGAATGCCATGGACCTGCCATTGCAGCCCAGGCATTGTCTGCTTCCACCATAGCTGGCCCTAGATGGCAGGGCTGCAGCACAAGCTGGACCTCTTGGTTTTTCACTGGTTGGTCAGTGCTGGGATCTCAAAGAACATAGGTTGTTACTGTCTTTCCTAGGAGCAGGTTTGGCGCACGTATGGGATTTCCAAAGTAAAGGTAGGGAGTTTGAGTGGAGAGTGTGACTTAGCAGCTGACATATTTTTCTTCTGAGCACATGCATCTCAGATTTTGGCTTCCTGTCTAAATACACCTCGGCACAGAGCCAGGCTTAGAGGTGGGATAGCCACGTGGGTGGCGGCAGGGAAGGGGAACTAGAAATGCGTCGGTGCTTAGAAGTTAGCTGTTCAAAATCGATGAGGAAACTGTGAAACAGTGGAGACGGTGAGGGAGACAGCTTCGCGGGCCCGTCCTACCTCAGAGCCCCAAATCAAGCAGAGACTGCCAGAACCAACTTTCCCAGAACCCTACCGGACAGAGGATGGCTAGCCCCCGCCAGGCAGGGGCTGAGTGGGGGCTCTGTGATGTTTCTCGTGCCCTTACGTCCTCATGGGCCCCTGTGGCAGCAGCAAAGCTGCATGGTCCCTGGCTGTAGAGGGAGCAGAGAGGTGTGTGAGTGTGTCTGTGTGTCCATATCTGTGTCTGTGTGTATATATTTATGTGTATGTATGTCTGTGTGTGTATCTGTCTGTGTGGGCATATGTATATGTGTGTACGTGTGTCTGTGTCTCTGTGTATATCTCTTGTGTGTGGTGGGGGATACCTGGACAAGCTGGAGGCTGCACATATCTCCACTCCCATGGACAGGCCCTGCTTGAAATGGTGAAGAGCTTCTAGAGTGGAAAGGAGATGTGTGGAGTGGACTAAAGGCCCCTCTGCAGGCAATGCCAACTGTCTGTGACACTGTGCTATCTCTCTACACAGGAAAGACATTCCTGTGGGACGCGTGACCCTTGCCGACAGAGAGCAGACCAAGAAGGCAGTGTACTCAGTGATCTATGGAGCAGGTAGGCTGCAAGCCAGGGTCACCCATTAACCAGGAGCCATTTGCCAGTGCATTGTCTATACAGACGTGATGGTGACATTTGGGCACTAGTCACTAGTCAGAGCATTCCACACCACTAGCCCTGCTGCAGCAAGAGGAGAGGGGTGAAGGACTGTGCTAAGCATCATTTCTGTGCCTAGAGGCCCTGTTCATATCTACACCAAGGCTTTCAAGTAAAACCGTCTGAGCGTGGGCTCTAGTTTGACATGGTTCTTCTCAGCACACATTCAGGAACAAACTCCTCCCCATCGTCCTCCTCCCCCAGCCAAGCATCAGGCCCTGAGCCCTAGGCAGAGTGGCCCTTCCTTTCTTCACACGCTGCACATATTGCAGGACAGTGGACCTCCTCCCAGATGGCAAGGGCGTCCTTGCCAGAGCCCCTCAGCCCTTGGGGCTTTGCACTTAGCCTTCCATCTGCCACCTGTCTGGGTCCCACCTCAGAGTTGTGCCACATCTGTCAACAGTCCTAGAGATCTTCCAGCACTCACCCCCTGCCCTGGGGCTGGCCCTGCAAACCCAGTTGGGAGGGACCAGGAATGCAGATACAACTCCCCTCATAGTTACCTGGTCTGTCCCCTCCCAGGGGACATCCTCCCTGGAGGGAGGCACCCCAGACAAAGGTAGCTCCTTCTGGAGCTTTGCCTTTACTTTTTCTGGAGAGGAAAGGATGCACTGTAAATAAGCAGTGAGTCATGAGCTGTGATGCTGGCGAAGGGGGTAATTTGGCTGCTTTTAGCCCTATTGGTGACAGAGGCTCCCACCCAAAGCCTCCGTCTCTGCTGCCTCATTGTCCCCAGCCCGCCTGACAGCCAGAATTGCTGTTTATCTGCTGCCTGGCTCGTTCCGGCTGTGTCTCTGTTAGAAACAACCTTGCTGATGAACGGGGCTGAGGACCCAAGTAAGCCCCAGCTTCCTAGATGGCTCGTGCTCTAGGGAAGGTCAAGGGGCTTTGGCGTAGGCAGCTGTCTGTGACGTGCAGCGATTTTTCCACAGAAGCCACATGTGGGCAGCCTGGGTGCTAGAAGGTGCTGGAAGGTGCTGGAGGATGCTGGTAGGAATTCTGGGCCACAGAAGAAGCCTTCTAAAGAAGGAAATGTGAAGACTGGTGAAGACAGAGCAAGCCACAGGCAGTGAAGCAAGAGGAAAGGGTGCTCAGCCCCCGCAGCCCTGAGCAGGCTCACCCCACCCACCTCAGACCCCTGCGGCCTGAGCTTATCAGGGGCCTTGACTCAATGCTGGCTTATGGGCCTGCTGCATCTCTTTTAGTCAGCCAAATTCAGCATCTGCTAACTTACTGGGGTGCCCCCCCCCACACACACACAGCTTGCTGGGCCTGTTTCCAGCCGTCTCTGAGCCTAGCAGAAACCTGACCCCTCTAGGAAGCCACCTCCAAGTCCCCAAGCCCACTTCTACTTTCTGAGAGTTAGCCTAACACGGAAACTCTTGCTGTCCCCACCCCCAGACAGTGCAGTGAGCAGGGACTGACTGAGGGCATGGGGTATACTAGCCTTCTCTGTGCCAGGAGTGCTGTTCCAAGTGATGTGCAGGTAGGACTGAGCCCAAACCCGTGCTTCCCTAGTGCACAGGGAGCCCCGAGGATTGCCCCCAAGCTGGGAGCCTACGCAGAGCAGGAAGCACCGGGGCTGTGTGGGGAAGTCTGTCCAGTGGACTGGCCCGCATTCTGCCACGTGCTGGGTGCTCGCTCATCCAGAGAGACAGAGACAGAGATAGGGAGCAATACACGTGGAGCAGCCCTGAGAGAAAAATGTCTTCCTAAGGTTAAATCTGTGGTGATGTGTGAGCAGATGTGCGTGTGTGCACACATGCACACAGGATATAATTAGCCATCTGGGAAAAGTCCAACTCTATGTTTTATATATTTTACGGGTGGAGAATGCTTAGTGCCACTACCACAAAATCCTGGGTAAACTGGAAGGGAGACAGCCCACACATGGTTACAACAAAGAAGACTCATGAAAGTGTAGACAAAAAAAAGAACTAGTGCCCGTGAAGCAGAGACAGAGAAGCCAGGAGCCAAGAGTCATCCACTCAGGGAGAGACAGGTGACTGAGTATGCTGGCCCCTGAACTACTGAGAGAGGAGCGGTGTAGCCCGGGACTCCTGCCTCCGTCTCAGCCTCCTCGCGCTGCTCTTGGTTGCCTCTTTGTCCCCTGGCCTCGTGAGCAGACTTTCTGCTCAACTGGATGTTGACCACCTTGTGCCCTTCTGATAGCCCAGCAGCTCTGCAGAAGAAAGCAGCTCGCTCCAGCCATGCATGTTTGGGAGAGATGAAACTTGTAGCATTAGCCAAGCAGCTCCCATCAGACCAACCTTCCCAAAGACTCCAGCCATCTACTAAGGCAAAAGTACTAAAACTACCAGAAAGCCCTAAGCAGTAACCCAGGGAAACAGGAAGAAAAGTGTGGTCCAGGGTGTTTCACCACCTTGCAGCTTCACACAAACTTGAAGAACCAGAGGACAAAGTTTGCCAGTGAGTCTGGAAAATAAAGGGAAATTTTCCAGAAAGAAGAGAGCCAGGGAGAAGCTCAAATTCTGATGGCTGGCTGACCCTAACTGCATGATTGGAGCAACCTCAGCCCCGCTAAGGCTCAAAGGGCTGATCTCAGATTTCAGTTGCTAGCTACTGCAAGGAGATGAGACTTTAAAATTTGATTTTGGCTAAATCAACTGTCCTCTAGAAAAATTGTAACCCTGTGAAGAACGAATAGAATCCAGTTTCCACACTGTATACAATCTCAAATTCCTACACATGTGAAGACACCGCCCAGCATGGCCATGCTCAGGGGAAAAGGCCTTTGTAGCAGCAGATCCAGAGATGAACAGACAGGATTTATTTTTTCTAGTCCTGGGATTTGAACTCTGGGCCTGGGTACTGTCCCTGAGCTTCTTTTGCTCAAGATGAGTGCTCTATCACTGAGCCATATAGCCACTTCTGGCTTTTTTGAGTAGTTTATTGGAGATAAGAGTCCTCATGGCGTTTCCTGCCTGGGTTGGCTTTGAACTACAGTCCTTAGAACTCAACCTCCTGAGTAGCTAGGATTACAGGTGTGAGCCACTGATTCTATAACCAGTATACTCAAGGATGTGAAGGGAAACATGCTCATAACAAATGGGGGCAAAGAGGGGAAAAACTAGAGAAAAAGAGCCAAATAAGAAGTATAAAGCCCCAAACTGCAATATCTAAAATAAAACTTTCCAGAAGGGCACAGCGGCAGATCGGAGGTGAGAAAGATCCAGCAAGAGGCTGAGCCGGCCGAGTCCAGCCGTCATGTGACTCCTGCAGGAGAGCAGACTGTCCCACAGCTATGCCACAGCTGAAAGGTAGTGACTGGAATCTGACAGAAAGATGTATAGATTATTCAAATAAAATGTGGCAAAACACACAAATTGAAAAGATGACGTGCTATCTTGATTAAGTCCCAAGTTTTCAAGTGTTTCCTTTCTAACCAAATGACCTAAAAGAAGCACCCAAGGCTCCAAGTACTTTTTCCCTTCTTCTGGGATAAGCTTTGGGAGAACAGAACATCACATTTCCCTCTCATCCTAGCAAAGCAATGGAAGCTAATATACACCCTTCACTGCCCCAAAGACTCCAACATTATTGTTTCCAGTACTGCAAAAGGCTTCACCTGGCCAAGACCAAGCCTGACCTGACTGAAGAGAAGAGCAGAGCTGCAAGAGCCATCAGCCTGCTCCTTAGAGGTGCCTTCCTATCTTCATAGCCCTACCTCTCTCCCTGGCCGTGATTCTGGACCACCCTGTCTGAAGGCCCCATGAGTCTCCTTTAATGCAGGCCCTCTGTGGCATGGTGATGGCCTCCCTCCACCGACGCAGCCCCCCTGGAGCTGAGGCTTTCTCCTATCAGCTCCCACACCTGCCCACAGGGGCTCCTCATTGCTCCTTTCTGGGGGAAAGTGGGAAAGAATGACTACTAAGTATCAAGTAGGAGCCAGATATGGCTTGGAGCTTTATACATCTGAGCCCAGAGTTCCCCTAACAACCCTGGGCATAAGCAGTAGTGTTCCTAAATCACAAGGGGAAAAACAGATTTGCCGCAGGTTAGGCAACTTCCCAAGGCTACACAGAGCCTCCCGGGGTGATGGAAATGGACTTAAACCTTGGCCTGTTTGGGCCCAGCACCGGAATCCAGCAAGCAGAGGCTCAAATTTCATACTGGAACTTGGGTGCCATCCCAACTAGACCCTTCCATAAGCTCACTCTTCCGGGAGCAAAATGCCAATGTTCTAAAATAAACATTAAAGCCCAAGAACCCTACGCGGCCATGTCCTCTCCCGGCCTTCCTTTCCTCTGGGGCCCTCTTGAGCCTCCCCCAGTTCTGCAGTCAGACCTCCCACTGGCCACGCTAAGAACAGGACTGGCTCTCCTTCATTTCACAGATGGGTCTGGCACACTGCACATTATTGAGCAAGTAAGTGTTTAGCTGGCCCTGTCCAGGTCAGTGTACTCGGCACCTCATCTATGACCCCAAAGCCATTACCATCTCAGTACTGCATTCCATAGTGCCACTGGGCCTTGACTCAGCACCTTGTCCCTGAGGCCTGCAGTGGCTCATCTCCACACACCCAGTCACCTCTGAGACACATGATTTCAGTACCCTTAATTCAGTTGGTATGAATTAGCCTAGACTCTGATCATGCATCTTTCTGACTCCTATAGGAAAGGAGCGGCTTGCTGCTTGCCTCGGAGTTACTGTTCAAGAAACCACCTGCTTCTTGGAGAGGTTTTTGCACAAGTATAAGAAAATTAAGGACTTTGCCCAAGCAGTTATTTCCCAGTGTCACCAGACAGGTAAGCCAGCCACAGCAAAGTCTCTAGCAGCCGGCAGTGTCTGTGGCTTGGGGTCCTGTGGGTGGGTGGATAGATAAACGAGTGGACAATGTGTGAACCAGGCTGCTGAATCTGGGAAGGAGACGAGTACAAACCATCAGCTCTGCCTGGAGAGACAGAAGAAAAAGCCATTATCACATGGAGGAAGACAGAGCCAGGCTCTTACAGCATCAAAGCAACCTTGAGTTCACAGATGATAGCTGCACAGAAAGTATGGAGACATATATTGCTGTGAAAGGCATGTGGTCCATTTACGAAAGAGTTTCACAGTGTGGTCTCAAAGGAAACACAAACAGATTTCAAGAATCCAAGCCAATTATGACTGGGACTACAGTGCAGTAAGAAGCTAGTTTTATATGTATCTCTGTGGGTAACTATCTGTCCACATATCTATATGTAAATTATCATGATCCTAAGTAATTTAAGGCAAAAAAAGGGCATCTCATAAAGAGGACATGAATGACAGTAAAAGTATCTCATCAAAACCATGAGACCAGGATATAAAGGAATACATTAAAAAGAGTATCTCAGAAAGAATCCTGTGACATAAATGAGTTACATTTAACACAAGAAGTTTGGAAAAGAGAAGCAGAGTGTTAATGAAAGAAAAGGAAGAAAAGAAATAGGAGAACAGAAATTAATGAAAAGCACACACAAATATTCTCTAGTCAGTGAAAAATAATCAGCTTAGAGAATTGGCCTGACAAGAGTCAGTGCTGCCAGGCACCGGTGGCTCACACCTGTAATCCTAGCTGAGATCTGAGGATTGCAGTTCAAAACCAGTCCGGGCAGGAAACTCCGTGAAACTCTTATCTCCAATAAACCACCAGAAAACCGGAAATGGCACTGTAGCTTAAGTGGTAGAGCGCTGGCCTTGAGCTGAAGAGCACAGGGACAGCCCTCAGGCCCAGAGTTCAAGCCCCAGGACCAAAAAAAAAAAGAGTCAGTGCTAACTGGCTCTAGCATGTCCGTGGGGGTGTAGACAGATTTGGGCAGCCCACAGCACCCCAGACATTCCAAGGGCTCATGAGGGACTTGTGCCTGGGGTCTCGGCACACCTCCCACAGCTTCTCCATGACCTACCAGAAGATGGCATTGGGCCTGGCTGCTTCCTCTGGCCATGAAGGAATGCTACCATGAGCCACTGGCCGCACACTGAGAACTCTTGCCTGCTCCAGGCATATTCAGAGCTCAAGAGCAAGAGCAAACCCCTTCCATCCCTGCAGCCAGAAGGCCTAGGCGCCTGGGCCTGGAGATGAATAGCTCCCAGAAGCAGTAACCACTTCCTGCCCAGGAGCCTAGCAAAACTTAAAATACTCTCAATTTTGAACTGCTGAAAGAGTGATAGTGAAACAGAGGTAGAGACCCACCTCCCACAGGTCAGGAACAGCACACACTTGGACCACTGTTAGATATTGTGAAAGCACTCTTACTGATAAGCCCTTGTTATCAGTACCCTTTTGTGTGTGTGCCACTCCTGGGGCTTGAACTCAGGGCCTGGGTACTGTCCCTGAGTTTTTGTGCTCAAGGCTAGTGCCCTACCACTTGAGCTACGGATCACTTCTGGCTTTTTTGTTGTTTAATTGGAGATAAGAATCTCATAGACTTTTTGTCCAGACTGGCTTTGAACTATAATCTCCAGATCTCAGGCTCCTGAGTAGCTAGGATACAGGCGTGAGCCACCAGTGCCCCACTCAGTTCTGGCTTTTAAAGGCAAACAGCTTGTATTGGACTTTCAGCCACCCAGTGGAGGGGGAGCACTCCCCTCCCTGGATGGCCTGGAAGAAGACCTTTGGCTGGCCCAAGCACAGGCTTTCGTTTTCATGAAGGGAAGCAGGATTGGTGTAGCCATTCTTGCTCACCCCTTCTGGCTATACAAGCAGACTGCTTGGCTTACGTGTAAGCAGCTGGGAGATGTCTTCTACGTTGCCCCCTGGTGTTACAATATAGTAGGTCCAAATAAAGACTTCCCTTGAGTGGTCTTCCCTGCCTACTTTTGATTCTTGACATTAATAGAGCTGGTAATTCAAAAAGAAAAAAAGAGCCTGGCGCTGGTGGCTCACGCCTGTAATCCTAGCTACTCAGGAGGCTGAGATCTGAGGATCGCGGTTCAAAGCCAGCCCGGGCAGGAGAGACCGTGAGACTCCTATCTCCAATAAACCACCAGAAAACCGGAAGTGGCGCTGTAGCTCAAGTGGTAGAGCGCTCGCCTTGAGCTGAAGAGCTGAGGGACAGCGCCCAGGCCCAGAGTTCAAAAAAAGAAGCAATGGAAGTGGCTGGAGGGCAGCTAGAGCAGCAGTGAGGCATGGCAAGAGCTGCCACAGGCGTCCGCGGGCCAGCCAGTGGGTGGTGGACAGGGCCTCCCTTCCCTCACGGGGCCCTGGTGCCCACCGTGGGTGGAAGTAAAGCTGAGATGGCGGCAGCCTGCAGGTCCTTGTCGGGGAAGATAGCTGCAGGTGGCTGAAACTGGCCATCCAGTGCTCCTGACCCAGAGCTGTGGCACCCCCACACAGCTGTCCAGTGCCCCCCACAGATATGCAAGTGTAGCCCCGGCTGTCAAAGGCCTCACACCCACCCAAGGTCCAGAACCCCATGCTCCGGATCAACCGCCATGGGCCTGCAAAAGCTCAGGCCTGAACAGCTGGGTCTGCCTTCCCCCCCTCCCCCCCCGCTCCCCCTCCTCCCCCCCCCGTGCGGACCTGGACTGGGACTGCTGGCTCCACACTCCACTTGCCACGCAGTCCAGAATGGCTGCTGTGCCATGCCTAACACACAGCTTTGAGTTCTGGGGAGTAAAAGCTGACCTCTTGTCCTGTGTGAGCCCTACCTGTGGCTGCAAGCCAAGGAGCAGCCAGACCGGCCGGCTGGCCAGCCAGGGCCAGTGCCGCAGCCCTGCTCTCTGCGCAGAGCCCTTTGCCCTGGCAACAGGCCAGGCAGCTCCGAAGGAGGCCCTGAGTCAGCACAAGGTGGAGGAGGGAGCGGGGACCTGCCCCAAACGCTGTGCCACCTGTCTGTCTCTGATGCTCTTCTGCTTCTTCCTGTAACCTAGGGTATGTGACATCCCTCATGGGCAGAAGGAGACCCCTGCCAAGGATCTGTGCACAGGACCCACAGCTCCGGGCACAAGCAGAGCGACAGGCAGTGAACTTCGTGGTGCAAGGTACAGGGGTCCCAGCCAGCTCTGCCTCCTGCTGTCTACGGCTGCCTGCTGCCTGCTGGCTCCTCTGCTACTTTTCTGAGTCTGCCTGCTCCTCGGGTTTGCAAGTGCAGGCCTAGGCAGTGCCCACCAAACTTTGTGGTATTTCCTGCTCCTGAGAATGTCCTCAAGCCAGCTTCCTGGGTCTTACCTGTCTGGCAGGGCCCATGGGGGGGGGGGGGGGAGGGAGGCAGTGAGTGACCGCAGCCGTGTGTGGTCAGCACTCAGCACAGGGTCCTCTGTCAAGGAAGGCATTTCCTTGAATCTCCATATCTCCAAGTGGGGAGACCCTGGAAGCCTAGCCAGCACCCTGACCTGGGCCTTTCCACTACAAGTGCCTGCCTGATTCAGGCCTACTGAATAACGCATTCGAAGCCTCCTCCCCATGGTGCTGAGCAGGGGAGGGCTGGGGCGGTGAGGGAGGCGGCATTGTAGGGCTTTCAGAAAGCTCAGCGTCAGGTGCATGGACCCAAGTGTGCTGAGCAGCAACTTGTGCCGAGTCTGTGCCTTGCACTCTGTCCCCTGAAACAGACCCTTCCTGTCCCCAGGTTCCACCGCGGACCTCTGTAAGATGGCTATGATCCGAATCTTCGCTGCAGTGGCCGCTTCCCCCTTCCTGACAGCCAGGTCAGTGGGACAGCCAGTGTGCCCAGCCCAGCTCTGTTGGGGATTGCTGGGAGCTGCCCAGGACTGGGCCTACCACCCTTCTAGCCACCCTCCCGCCAAGCCAAGGGTGCCTGAGGGCCCGAGCCCCTGGCGGCTCGTACCCTGACCTGTCCCACCTTCCCCAGCTTGGACACAGAAGGGTCCAGACACACATGCGATCCCTGCAGGAAATGCACAGCCTGCAGCAGCCGCCCCTAAGGCAGGTGAGCCCACAGCAGACACCAGGGGCTCTGCACAGCCCTACTGCCCTCTGGGGACCTGTGGTCCCCACCATGGCTCCACGTGGCCGCCCTAGCCCCAGGATGCACGTGGTGATGGGCTCCTCACCGCCCTTGGATCCTGGGGGGGAAGAAGACCTCCCTGCAGCCACCTCTCCCTGGCAAGTGAAGGCCACGCAGACACCATTCTACTCCGGTCCTGGAGCCCCTTCCTGCCTGTTGGTCCCCCACAGCCCATTGAAGAGGAAGTCATGTCCAGACTCCAAAGAGCCTCGCTCATTCCATGCATCATGTGTGTTCCTAACCCGTCCAGAGGGCAGTTAGAAGTCCCTGGCCCGCCTCAAGGAGGCCTGGCAGGGGAGGGGGGCTCATGGCATCGCACCAGCCCTCACTGCTCTCATCTTTGGGAAGTGGAGGTCTGCTGGCCTTTGACCCCTTTTCTACCATGTCTTTTGGCCTCTTGATATTCTACCTGCTTTTAAGCAGGATTTTTTTTTTTTTTTTTTTTGTCATGGGGCTTGAACTCTGGGCCTCAGCTCTTCAGCTCAAGGCTAGTGCTTTACCACTTGAGCCTTAGTGCCACTTCTGATTTTCTGGTGGTTCATTGGAGATAAGAGTCTCATGGACTTTCCTGCCAGGCTGGCTTTGAACCATGATCCTCAGATCTCAGCCTCCTGAGTAGCTAGGATGACAGGCTTGAGCCACCAGCACTCAGCAGGACTGTTTTTAAATGGCAATCTCTCATCCTTCTTTAAAATCTCTCCTTTATTTCTTCACATTCTCCCATGGGTTCTGTTGGCCATAATCTTCGCAGCTCTGCACAGAGACATTCATGGTTCCACCTGGAGAGATGGGGGCAGACCTGTGCCAGCTGGAAGCCTGCTGGCTGCTGCCCTTTGCAGCCCTGGGCCAGCCACTTCTTCACAGGGTGCCACAGGCCCTGTGGCCCAAGAGGAGGGAGCCTGAGGCCCCTGTTGAACCCTGCCCCATGGGTGGTCAAGGCAGGGGCAAAGCTTTGCCCAGCTCACCCCTCCCCCATCACTAATCCCTGCTGTTTGGCCCCTTCTTAGTGTGCATGCATGCATGAGCACGTGCACGCCCTCTAGCCAGGATCCAGGATTTGCTCCAGGTTTTTTGTGATTCCTGAAATCCATGCGCCTCTCCCCCTCCACCAGGTTCTTGGTAAGTTCTACCTTCACATACTGGTGTGGGCCGTCTGGCTGGACATCCATTAGAGAAGCCACTAGAAGGCACATTGTTGCTCTGCATCTAGAGCAGTGCAAGACTTAAACCTGCCTCCTCGTTTCTAGTGAAGCTGGTAACAAGCTTGGGATCTGGGTTGTGTGAGGATGGTCCTTCTGCGAGCTAAGAACAGCACGTTCTTGCTTGGGACTTTTCTGAGCACAGAAAAACACCAAGGCCCAGGGCCTGGTCTGACTTCTCTGAGTTCATGTATTCTAGCCAGCACTGCATCTCCCACTCAGAGCTATGTGTCTCCTACCTTACATCTCTTAGAGGTAAGCTTGGGGTTCAGGATACACCCACAAAGGGGCACAGTACAGTTGAGGGCCCTTTTAAAGGAGCTGCCTGGCAGACCCCTGCAGGGAAACAAGGTGAGGCCTTTCTGGAATGTTGTCTTAGAGAAGCCAGGCTCTATGGCCTCGGTCAGGCTGGCTCCATGTCCCCTCTGCAGTAGGAACCTCTGGGCAGGCAGCTCCTTGGCTGTGAGCCCAGGAGGTCTGAGCAACTTTCCTCTACCACTCTGCTTGTTCCTATGCCCCAGTTGCCAGCTGGGGGGCATGGTGGAGCCTGGGTGCTGGGGGTATGGTGGTCTCTGGGTGCTGGTGCTGGGGGCATGGTGGTCTCTGGGTGCTGGTGCTGGGGGCATGGTGGTCTCTGGGTGCTGGTGCTGGGGGCATGGCGGTCTCTGGGTGCTGGGGGCATGGTGGTCTCTGGGTGCTGGGGGCATGGTGGTCTCTGGGTGCTGGTGCTGGAGGCATGGTGGTCTCTGGGTGCCGGGGGCATGGCGGTCTCTGGGTGCCGGGGGCATGGTGGTCTCTGGGTGCTGGTGCTGGAGGCATGGTGGTCTCTGGGTGCTGGAGGCATGGTGGTCTCTGGGTGCCGGGGGCATGGCAGTCTCTGGGTGCTGGGGGCATGGTGGTCTCTGGGTGCTTGGGGCATGGTGGTCTCTGGGTGCTGGTGCTGGAGGCATGGTGGTCTCTGGGTGCTGGGGGCATGGTGGTCTCTGGCTGCTGAAGGCATAGTGGTCTCTGGGTGCTGGGGGCATGGTGGTCTCTGGGTGCTGAAGGCATAGTGGTCTCTGGGTGCTGGGGGCATGGTGGTCTTTGGGTGCTGGTGCTGGGGGCATGGCGGTCTCTGGGTGCCGGGGGCATGGTGGTCTCTGGGTGCCGGGAGCATGGCAGTCTCTGGGTGCTGGGGGCATGGTGGTCTCTGGGTGCTGGAGGCATGGTGGTCTCTGGGTGCTGGGGGCATGGTGGTCTCTGGGTGCTGAAGGCATAGTGGTCTCTGGGTGCTGGGGGCATTGTGGTCTCTGGGTGCTGGTGCTGGAGGCATGGTGTTCTCTGGGTGCTGGGGGCATGGCGGTCTCTGGATGCTGGGGGCATGGTGGTCTCTGGGTGCCAGGGGCATGGCGGTCTCTGGGTGCTGGAGGCATGGTGGTCTCTGGGTGCTGGGGGCATGGTGGTCTCTGGGTGCTGGGGGCATGGTAGTCTCTGGGTGCTGGTGCTGGAGGCATGGTGGTCTCTGGGTGCTGGGGGCATAGTGGTCTCTGGGTGCTGGTGTTGGAGGCATGGTGGTCTCTGGGTGCTGGGGGCATGGCGGTCTCTGGGTGCTGGGGGCATGGTCATCTCTGGGTATTGGGGGCATCGTGGTCTCTGGGTGCTGGTGCTGGGGGCATGGTGTGTTTGGGAGTCTGTGAGGGTGATGTTCAAGTGACTCACAGTCATACCTATTCTTAGGGCCCGCCACACCGGCAGCCCAGATTTCATGATGTGATTTCAAGAGGTGTGAAAGTGTTTCTGCTAAATCAGGAAAGATTTCCAAGTGTCTTTTTGGGGTTTTTTGCCTGTTTGAAAAGTGAGCCCCTTGGGAGCCAAAGGCCCTGCCAGCCGCCTTGAAGTTAAAGAGCCGGCGCTGCAGCCTGGGCCCGGCTGTGTCCCTCAGGACAACTTCTGGGGGTGCGGTGCCAACGCCCTGGAGCTGCACATTAACGAGGGGCCTCAGGCGTGCACCGAGTGCTCCCCAGTTCATTCTGCACGTGACCCTGTGTGGGCCTGACCTGCGCAGCACGCGGGCACTGCTGCTGCTCGCACAGCCCACATGGCTGGGCTCCACAGGCGCTTCCTCCCGTCTCAAGTCACAGAACACACTGAGTTTAGAAATTCAGGACGGCGGGCTGGGAAGGTGGCTCAGTGGCAGAGCACTTGCCTTGCATGCTCCAGGCCCTGGGTTCGATTCCTCAGCACCACATAAGCAAAAAGAAAAAAAAAAGCCGGAAGTGGCGCTGTGGCTCAAGTGGTAGAGCGCTAGCCTTGAGCTGAAGAGCTGAGGGACAGCGCCCAGGCCCAGAGTTCAGGCCCCACGACCGGACCCAAAAAAGAAATTCAGGACGGCGAGACTCAAATCCCACTCGCGATGCTGTGTTGGCGCTAGCCACTCTGACCACCACACCTTCCAGGTGTGGGGAAAGGGCCACAGCCTCCTGGGCCCCTGCATCTGAGCGTGAGCCTGGGTCCACAGGACAGGCCGGGAGCTGCCCCAGAGCAAGGGATGGTGTGGAGAGAGAAGACAGACGGGGCAGGCCACCACAGATAGCTACCGCCATACTAGCCCTGACCCATCTCTGCACAGGCCTTCCTCCCAGCCTGGCTCCCTGTCCCTTGCCTGTGGCCACTGCCTTGCATCTCCCTGTACCTCCCTAGGTAGCCCCAGTACCATGTGGGGGCCTGAGGAGGGCAGCAGAGTTTGGTGTGAGGCCACAGATGGAGCCCCAGGACCCCACCCCTTTGCTGCCAGTCTTCTGTACCGGATGCGTCAGGCCTACATGTGCAGGGCCTCACCCACGTCCACCCCACCGGAGGGGCTAGCACCAGGTCCAGGAGCCACAATCCTGGGCAGCGCCCCCCCCCCTCCCATCTGAAGTGCCATCCACCCAGGAGTGAAATCACACCACCTTCCTCCCTCCAGGCTGGTCGCCCAGATCCATGATGAGCTGCTGTTTGAAGTCGAAGATGCTCAGATCCCTGAGTTTGCAGGTAAGCCCAAGGAATGTGGGTGCTTTCTGCCACACAGTTAGCAGGCCACCAGATCCCCAGGGTGTCCCTTGGCTTCAAGTCCCTCCCAAGCAGACAGGGAAGCTAGTGTGGTTTGGGAAGCCTGGGAAGGCCCCATAGACGAATACCTTGTGCTCACTGTGGAGCTACACACACACACACACACACACACACACACACACACACACACACACACACACACACACACACACAGGCCTGCGCATGTGTACCTGCTCCTCCACCTCGTCACCAGGGGCTCTGAACAGAGATGGTGACTCCAGCATGCCAGCACTGCAGAGCCAGCCTCCCTGCCCAGCCCTCATCTCAGACCTGACCCAGAAGGCCCAGGATCAGCCTCCCGTTCCCACACTGCCCAGTGCCTCCCTTTGCCCAGAGCCCATGGCAAGAGTTAGATTAAGCATGACACCTGCCACCCCAGCGGCCCTGCCAGCCTGGGGAGCAGAGCTGAGGTGGGCGCAGAGCTCAGATGGGTGGGGGCAGAGCTCAAGTGGGCGCAGAGCTCAGGTGGGTGGGGGCAGAGCTCAGGTGGGGGCAGGGCTCAGGTGGGGGCAGAGCTCAGGTGGGGGCAGGGCTCAGGTAGGGGCAGGGCTCAGGTGGGGGCAGGGCTCAGGTGGGGGCAGGGCTCAGGTGGGGGCAGAGCTCAGGTGGGTGGGGGCAGGGCTCAGGTGGGGGCAGGGCTCAGGTGGGGGCAGAGCTCAGGTGGGTGGGGGCAGGGCTCAGGTGGGGGCAGGGCTCAGGTGGGGGCAGGGCTCAGGTAGGGACAGGGCTCAGGTGGGGGCAGGGCTCAGGTGGGGGCAGGGCTCAGGTGGGGGCAGGGCTCAGGTGGGGGCAGGGCTCAGGTGGGGGCAGGGCTCAGGTGGGTGGGGGCAGGGCTCAGGTGGGTGGGGGCAGAGCTCAGGTGGGGGCAGGGCTCAGGTGGGGGCAGGGCTCAGGTGGGGGCAGGGCTCAGGTGGGTGGGGGCAGGGCTCAGGTGGGGGCAGGGCTCAGGTGGGTGGGGGCAGGGCTCAGGTGAGGGCAGGGCTCAGGTGGGGGCAGGGCTCAGGTGGGTGGGGGCAGGGCTCAGGTGGGTGGGGGCAGAGCTCAGGTGGGGGCAGGGCTCAGGTGGGGGCAGGGCTCAGGTGGGGCAGAGCTCAGGTGGGTGGGGGTAGCACAGTGCATTGTGGTGCTCAGAGGCTTGTGAGGCCATTCTCAGCCACAGATGTGGCCACAGGCTCTGAAGCAGCTGTGGATGTGTGGGAGGACCGAGAAGCCAGCCTCCTGGCCATGGTGCCCTGGTGAACAGGGTTGGCACGCCCGCAGCATGACCAGCCAGGGCAGGCCCAGACTCTGTATCCTCCTGTGCTCAGCCGTGGGCCCTGGAGACCGGGAGCCTGGCCTGTGCCACCCAGGCTGAGTGGCCATCCTCCTGTCCTAGCTCTTGTCAGGACCACCATGGAGTCCTTGTGGCAGGTGCGGGCCCTGGAGCTACAGCTGCAGGTGAGTGGGTCGCTAAGCGGTCACTGCCCACTACAGCACTCAGCCAGAACCACTCAGGGTGGGTTGGACGGGCAGCAAGGACAAACAGACCCCACCCCTGTGCCGGGCACCCTGCCAAGGAGCCCTTTCCCGGCCAGCTTGACTGTCATCCTTTGAAAACCCACAAGTGTCCACTGCTTCCACCAGCCACTCCGCTGGCCCAGCCCCTGACCTGAGGCCCACCACTGGTGTGCTGCACTGGGGTGCCACTGCCGCTTGGCCAGCTGTGCTTGGAGTTGCTCTGGTCCTGACCAGGGAGAGACCTGGTGTGGTTGGTGTGGGATCTTCAGGCCGGGGTGGGATAGGGGGCCCCGGTGTCTCCTAGCCTCCCAGGGGAGGGCCCAGCCAAGGTGTCCTAAGAGCACAGGACGGGCCGCAGAGACTGGCAGGCCTCCCCTGGGGGCCCAAGGCACAGGGACAGGACTCTGTGGGCAGAGAAGCGGGGCTGGAGCCACCTCAGGAGGAGGGCTGCCGTTGTGTCCAGTGCCTCCTGTCGAGAGGCAGCTATGTGGGCTCCTCCTGAGGCCTTAGTAAGGAGCCCACTTGGGACCAGGCCCCCAGGAGAGCTCTTCCACCTCCGGGCTCCACTCCAGCATAGACCTGTAGGCCATCATCCCAAGACACACCTCTACTCAGAGACACCTCCCCAGCAGCACACACAGGGCAGGGGTTCTACCAGGACGGCCTGTCGGGTACAGTGTGTCTGAGTGTGCATGTGTGTGCACTCCTGTGGTGACTGGTCTGTTATGCATGAGTATGCATGTGTGTACCCATGTGGTAGCTGGTCTGGTGTGTGTGTGTGCATGTGTGTGTACCCATGTAGTGGCTGGTCCATTGTGTGTGCACATGTGTGCACCGTGTGGTGGCCTGTCATGTGTGTACATGTATGTACCCATGAGGTGGCCTGTCCATTGTGAGTGTGCACATGTGTACCCGTGTGGTGGCCTGTCATTGTGTGTGTATATGTGTGCACCCGTGTGGTGGCCTGTCATTGTGTGTGTATGTGTGTGCACCTGTGTGGTGGCCTGTTTGTGTGCATATGTGTGCACCCATGTGGTGGCTGGTCTGTCTATAGAAGGGCTGCCAGAGCCGTGGCAGACATGTCTGTTTTGGTGCTCTGTGCACCTGTGCACTTCTGTGTGGATCTGGGAGCCGGGTGCACAGCTGGCTGGGACCCAACGTTCACCTCCAGCTGCCATCCACAGGTCCCTCTGCAGGTGAGCCTGAGTACCGGCCGCTCGTGGGGAGACCTCTCCCCACTGCAGGAGGCCCTGGACCCAGCCACTGCCCAGCCACTGACAACTCGTTCCTTCTCACCCAACACACATTCTGTGCCTAGCCCCGGGAAATAGTGCGCGGAGAACGGTGGTTTACAGTTTGGGCCCACAGTGGCCTCCCAGGGCTGTCGGGTGCTGAGGCTCCAGGCAGTGCCCGCCACACGGACCCTCTGTGACGAGGACAGCTGGCTCATCCCTGGAGTAAATGTCTGAAAAGTCAACTCTGTGCAAGTGGCTTTGTTCCCAGGTGGATGACACACACAGCCCACCACCAGAGGGGAGTCAGAAGTGGGGCTGGACCTGCTGCCCCCAAATCTGAGTCTCCAGTCAGGCCCTGTGCTTCCCTGCCCCAAACACAGGCAGGCCAGCATCTGACAGCGGGGGGTGGACTGGTGTAAGGTAGCTGGGCTCCACTCAGGCCTCAGCAGCTGACAGACACGTACTTCAACCGCGCTGTTCCCAAACCCCAGAGACACAGCCCAACTCCTTCACTGCCTGAGCGCTGCTTCTCACCCTGTCAGGAAGGAATGTCAAAGGGGGATCCCTGCAGATGCCATGCAGGACAGACAAGGTACCAGGAGAGCCATCCAGGGTGAGGGGAGAATGATGCCCATCAAGGCCAGCTTCCTGTACCACAGCCTGACAGACACCCGCTGCCCCTGACACCACTCCACAGCCTGGTCCCCTTTCTGGCCCATGGCTGCCTGAAACAAGCCAAGCCCCCTCCTCTCTCCTTTGTACACACTGGGCTCCCCGCCCCCACAGTACAGGGCGGGGGGCTGGGTGGGCGGGCATGGGCCTCATCCCTCAGTGTAGAGCCAGTGCCTTCGGGACAGCAAACCCGGACACGCAGGCACTGCAGGTGCAGGAGAGGGGTAGGTGCCACAGGCCCCAGTGCCAGTCCCTCGGGGACCCAGGATGGGACAGGGCAGCCAGACCTGGTGGCCAGGGCATCCTCACCTACAGCAGGGTGGGATCAAGTCATCTCAGCCAAGAATTTGGGTGCCCAAAAGCTAGGGGTCAGGGAATGTGCTGGGCCTGAGAGCCCAAAGCAGAGCCAGCCTCCACTCACCAGTCTCCACTCACCAGCCTTCACTCACCAGGAGCCCCCACCCGTGGGAAGCACAGGGCTGCCAATCCCACTCAGCCCAGGCCAGACAGGAGGCTCTTCAGAGCCCTACTCTGGCCTGCTGGCCAGCCTGTTGGCCACCCTGCTCCAGACACCAGCCCAGCCAGTGCACAGGAGCTTCCAAGTCTCTAAAAGGCACCTCGAAGAAGCACAGAGCCAGGTTCCTTCAACTCTGGTTTTATTGAAAAACAGCAGCATTGGGGGCTGTGCAGGCGGGCGCACACCCGCTCAGGCCCGGCCTGTCTCCTTGGGAACTCAGCCCGTGGCTTGGCCCTCGGGGCTGGTTTGGCACATCCTGGGGTCTCAGGACACCCTACCCCCACCATGGGCTCACAGTACGGCTTCAGGAACAAACCACAACAGTGAGGCCACCCCACCCACCCAACCAGCGCCTGTGCAGGGAGCCTCCAGCCGGCCACAGGGGAGGGACAAGGGCCAGCAGGGCTAGCCAGCCTGGTGGGCTGTGCTACATTCACAAGGAGGGGTGGGTACAGCCAGGGACAAAGGTAGAACCCTGCTCTGTCTACCAAGGGCCTCCCCAAGCGGAGGCTCTTCCTACCATGCCTCTCCACAGCCACACACACACACACACACACACACACACACACACACACACACACACACACGGACATGCCACACATATATACACTGGCTGTGGTCCACACTTACACACGTGTGACCACACATGCACGCATGCTCCCGCACACATCAGCCACCAGTACATACATAAACGGTCACATGCATATGTGCTAGCATGTACACGCCTTGCATATGTGTTCACGTGCACAAATGCTCAGACATGCATGTAGTCACAACTCAGTACAAATGCTTACACATGCACACGCGCACACATGCGCACACACACACACACACACACACAGGGACACCCTTCTTTAGAATGGCTAATTATTGCTGTTTTAAAAAATACATCCAACAGTGTTAAGTCAGAGCTCACCCTCCACCCAGACCCAGATGTGGACACTGCTCCTTCTGGAAACAATGCAGGCAGCACCTAAGGGTGGCGTGACCCAGGGTCACCCCACACCCCCAAACACCACCCACAGCCACTGGCTGGAACACCGTGGCAGAGCCCAGGATGGACTCCAGAAGCTGCTTCTGCCCAGCAAGGCAGGGCGGCAGCAGCAATTGGCCCTCAGCGCAGGGGCCACCTCTGTCGGGCCGTCAGTGACCCCTGGATCAGGAGCCGCTTGCCCCCCAGAAGCCACCGGCACAGCCCTGGGGGCGTGGACTGGCGTTCCCTGGGGCAGGCGGGACAGGGCAGCATGGCCAGGAACAAGCCAGGCCCACCGGGCCCTTGGAGCAGAAGGCTCAGGGTTCCCCAGCCTGGTTCCTCTGGACCTGGGCAGGACACCAGGGCAGGGCAGGGCTGCCCTGGACTGCAGGGCCTTGACGCCTACACCTCCTCCCAGGGCCTGCTGTCAACCCTTTGGCCAGGCTGACCCTTCTCTCCATTGCTACCCAGCCCCCAGGGCGGGGGGAGGAAGACCGGGCATGGGGGTGGGAGCAGGAGCAGCATGGGAAAGCGGCTGTGATGGCCCCAGGGCCTCTCCTGGCCCTGCCAAGGGCCAGAGCACAGGGCCCCAGCACACATGGGCCAGTCAATCTCCAGTAGCATTCTCTTGGGCTGGTGGTCTGAAGCACAGAACGCCTGGGCAGAGAGAAGCCGCTGCACATCTCTGCACGACAGCCTCACCAAACACTGAAATTCTGGAACCCTTCCCACTCTCAAACAGTCTTCTAAACAGCCAGAAGGACTTGCGGAAGTCCTAGACCCTGCCTGGGGCAGGTCTCAGGCTGGCCTCATCAGGCTGAGTGTGAGTACTACCCACCAAGGCGGGTGGAGGCCCAAGGGGGGGGGTGGAGGGGGGACGATAAGCCATCCAACCCAGGGAAGTGGCTGCCAGGCCCCGGAGAAACCCACAGAGGTAGAAAGAACAGAATCTCTACAAACACGAAATTCATGTCAGTGCACGTGAGGCGGTAAGCACGCAGGCTGGATGAGCTGACCCACCCACCCGCGTGCCCCGGCCGTTAGCCAGGGGCTAAACCTCCCATAGCCATGCTGAGCCGCACGCTGGTCTGCAGAGGCCCACCTGGCATAGCTCAGGAACACCTGCCTTCCCCACCTGGCAGCAACAAAAGGGTGGCAGAAAATGCTCAGGGGTCCAGCAAGTGCTCCTCTACCTGCTGGGCCACATAGCTAGCAACATCTCCGTGGGCACACAGGTGCCAGGCCGAGAAGATCGCATCCCCCCACAACCCTCTGTGCCACCAGGACTGGGTTTCCTGTCCAGGAAGCACGGATGGGTCAGAAGCCCCATCCCCAGGAAGGCGCAGGGTCTGAAGACTGGAGGGGGGGGGGGGGGGGCGGCCACCCAACCAGCCCCACCTCCCACTTGGACCCGCCCAGCCTCCTGCCCCGGGGCAGCTAAGACCAGCCCCGAGCCAAAACCAAACAGAAAGAGGAAAAAGGCACGACTGTTTGTTTTCCATTTTGCTAAAACACTTTACGTCTGTCTGTATAATCCAGATTAACAAAATCTGAGAGCTGCAAGAAAATAGGGTGCCAATTTCTGTACAGTCTACAAAACTCCCATCCCCAAGCGGGGACCGGGTGCCACCAGGGAGAATGTACAGGGGAGCGGGGTCTGTACAGGGCTCTGCAAACAGCTAACAGCACAAAAGGCCCCTCCGGTGCTGGGCCCATCCCACCAATTTATTCCTGAAGCTCCTCTTTTTAACACGGCCTAGATGTCAAGGACCCAGCTCTGTAGCCTGCTCTTCCTGATGCAAACCCCCTCCCACAGAAAGAGCCTGGCAGGCCCTTATGCCCCCCCCCCCCGTCCCCAGAGCCAGGCCCAGGGCCCACTGGCCATTCGGGCACTGCCAGCCACCTGCCTCCTCTCCCAGTCCGTCACCTCGCACCCAGACTGGCCCCCACGGAGAGGCCAGTTACACGGCGCTGGGCAGGACCAACCCCACGGCCCTGTCCTGTTCCTCCCAAGGCTCTGAGACTCCCAGGCCCCCTCAGGCCTGGGGCTGGAAGGGTAACCTGGGGCCTCACAGGCCCAGTGGACACTTCGGAGGGAAAATGATGCTAAATCAAGGTCTCCCTCCACCCACCTGGCCACCCACCCCATCACACGGGGCCTGAGACAGTGCATGTGCTAGCACCACACAGAGGTGTGTCTGAAGATTCAAACTACCGTTTTGTCCCAAGAGTTAAAGTCATGCAGAGTGCTATTCTGTCTAAGTAACTTATTAGAAAATGGGTTGGTCTCAGGCTGGGATGAGCTGTGGCTTGCAGCAGCCTGGCTAATAAGATTCACAGGGCAGACCCCAGTGCCCAGCAGGAGGCAGGAGGGCCTCTGGCCAGCTGGGAGGGGCCACCTGGACTAGCAGGCCCTGGGGAGGGGCCCTCCCCATGGACCCTGCCATCCTGTGCAATGGGTTGCTATGGGAACCACACCTGGTGCCAAGTCAGAAGTATCAAGTCAGCCAAGCCCGGGGCGGGGGCAAGGGGCAGTGGGCAAAAGGAGGCAAAAATGAGATGATGTCAAAGCAAAGCAGGAATGGACAGAACCGGGGCAGCAGGGGCAGTGCAGGCCCCACCAAAGAGCAGGCAGGGTAGGCACAGGGCAGGCCCTCTAGAGGTGAGCTGAGGCTGGGCAAGGTGTACACCAGCCTTGGTTCCGGGTCCAGTCTGGGCAGGACGGCAGAGCAGGGGGGGGGGGCGGTGGCATGCGGCATGCTGCGGCCAGGCCACATCCTCAGCATGCACAGAGCAGAGTGGGGCCCGCGGCCAGCTCAGCTCCCACGGGGCAGTGACTGGCCAGCCCGGCAGGCCACACGTCCGAGGACCAATGGTGGTACCACAGCCTGGCTGTGCTCTGAAGCAGGGGTCCTGTGCGTGGGAGTAGGGCTAGGCCTCTTTGGGTGGAGGCAGGCCGGGCAGCTTGGTGGACAGTTTAGGTGGCCCACAGTGCCACTCTGCAAGGCAGTGGTGAGCCACCTGGACAGGCCAGGAAGGGTGCAGGGCCCCGGCAGTCCACACATTCCACCACCGTGGCGCAGGTGAGCAGCAGCCCTGGGACCCCCAGAACCAGCCGGCCAACCGCATGATGCTGGAGAAGGAAAACCCAACACAAACGCCAAGGTGAGCATCTCGAAGCAGGGCCTCGCCGGGCGGGCGGGCGGGCACAGGCAGACAGGGCGGACAGGGCGGCGGGCGGACGGGCGGTGGCGGGCGGGCAGGCGGGCGGTGGTGGTCACTCCTCGCGTAGCTGCAGGCGGTAGCGGTGGTAGCGAACCTGGAAGAAAAGGCGCTCGGCCAGCGAGAGGGTCATGCCAGGCAGCACGTAGTGGTCACTCGAGCCCATGTGTCTGAAGCCCAGGGACTCATACAGCTTGTGGGCGGCCACCTTCACAGCGGTGGTGCCCAGCACCACGGCAGAGTAGTTGTGCACCACGGCAAACTCCAGCACCTTCCGGCCCAGCGCCTTGGCGATGCCCTTGCCACGGAAGCGGGAGTCCACGGACATGCGGAGCAGCTCCACGGTGTTGTCCTCCTCGTGGGCCCGTGCGGCCACGATGCCCACCACATTGCCGTCGAGCACAGCCACCCAGAAACAGGAGCCTGCGAGGAGAGGGCAGCCGGGGTCAGCCGCTGCAGCCGACCACTGACCAAGGTATCTGAATGACGCCCCATCTGCCGGCCCTCACGGGGCACACCTCCCCCCAGGGAGCTACCTCCTCCTCTGGGGCCCCCAGCCAGGAAAGCCCAGCAAAGAACCTCCCTGCTGTCTCGGCCTGGACATACAGCTCCCCAGCTGCCTGCCAGGGCCCCTCCCCTAAGACCAGAAACCGTGCCACATCTCTGACCAAACGGGGAAGGCCACAGGCAGCCCCGGCCAAGGCTGCGCCACCCGGCCATGGCACTCCTCAGGATCCTCGCTGCGGGCTCAGGGGCCAGGGGATGCTTCCAAGTCCCTGCGGGCACTGGGGCCCCACAGGGAGTCTCTCCAGGGCAGAAGGGCACAGTCAACCTGTCTCGTGGGGGACAGGAGACAGGCTAGGCAGGGAGGGGAGGCCTGAAAAAGGAGGCCGTGAAGAAAATCTGCTATCCCTGGTGAGGAGGTCTAGAGGCTGAGGGCCAGGTGCACGCCCTGCCCTAGATCGCCACACACACCCGCTTCAAGGACCAAACTTCCCACACAGGCTCGCTCGGCTCCGGCTCCTCACCTCCCATCTTGCCTCCACCTAGGAGCCCAGGGGAGGGGTCCCCCACAGCCTGCTGGCTCTGTGAAGAAGTCTGTTATCTTCTTCAGGTGACTGAGAAGCACTGAAGACCCCAGACACTCACCCTCCACCAGCAGAGAGGAGAAGCGGCTGCCAGTCCCCCCCCCCCACCTGAGGGGAGTCCCTAGCCAGCCCCCTTCCTACCAGCCAGCCTCCCAGCTGGCCAGAGTTCAGCCTGCTCCCACCCCACATACAGAGGAAAACAGGAGCGAGGGCAGCGCCCGGCGCCCATGGCCTTGACATGCCCCCGCGTCTCCATTTTCGTGTGGTGCTCTCCCACACTTCCACCAAGCCTTGGTCGGCCCTGTCCTGCGTGTCTTCCCGCAGACGTCCCGGGAAGAACAAGCCAGGACTAATTCCCTTCACGGAGGGTCCTTGGGGATCTCCAGCCATCCTCTCTCCCCGAGCCCCCTCCCCTCCTGAGCAGAGCCTTGAGAAGCAAGGGAATCTCAGAGGCTGGGTCTGGGAGGCTGTGTTCAGGTTTGGGGAAAGGACAGGCTCCAAGTCCAGGGCTGATGCGGGAGCAGGGCTGATGCGGCAGCAGCGCAGCTAGCCGTGCCCTTGCCCTGCACCGACCCAGGGCCTGCAGGTGAGTCTACAGGCCGTCTTACTCTCCACGGCCCTAATGCCTCGACCTCGGGCTCCAAAGACCCAGCTTGGAACAGAGGATGAGGCTGGCTGCGCTAGAGCAGGTGCCAGGTGTCAGCCGTCCTGGACAAAACCCAGTGGCTCACGCCGGGGCCCAGAGACCAGGCAGGAAGGAGAGGCCGAAGATGAGGCCAGGCCCCCGCCACGGCGTCCCCTGCTCCCCACAGTCCCTCCGCCCCGCCCCGCAGGGCTCTCTGGGCTGACCTCCGGCACAGGAAGGGGGTCAAGGTGCGGTGCCAGGTAGGGCCTCGTCTTCTGCCCAGTGGGTGCCAGCAAAGGTCCCAATAGTGCGTGCAGCGCGGCCAGGCGGCTCTGACCAAACCAGAGCCGAGTGGACGCAGCCCACGGAGACCCCCGCCTTGAACGGGGGCGCCCCGCCGGCCGGCCCGGGGGCGCTGCGGGGCGGGGGCCGGGGGGAGGGCGCCGGCTCACCGGGAGGCTTCATGTAGTACTGCTCGATGTCGGCCATGTCGGTGTGCAGCGCGCACTCCAGGTACGCCAGGATCACCTTGCGGCTGTAGTAGTAGCGCAGCGCCAGCAGCCCGGCGGGCACCAGCCCGGCCAGCAGCAGGGAGCGGGTGGCGGCGAAGCACAGCACTGCGGGCGGGCGGGCGAGGAGCGCGGTGAGCGGCGGCGCGGCGCCGGCCCGGCCCGGGCGTCTCCCCCGCGGGCGGCAGCGCCCACCGACCCGAACTTCCCGCCCGCCCCACGCAGCCCTCCGCCCGGGCCCGAGCGAGCCCGGAGCCCGCCGAGCCCTCCGCAGCCCGGGCCCGCGGCGGGCGGGCGGCGCGGTCCCTGCCGCCCGCGGCCGGTGACCTTGGGGGGGTCGCCGGGCTCCCCCGCGGGGCGCGCTCCCTCCCCGGCGCCCCGTCACGCCGTCCCCGCGGCCCCGGCCCGCCCCCCCCGCGCCGCGGTTCCCACGCGCGGCCGCCCGGCCCCGGGCCCCCGGCGCGCGCGGGCGCGGCACTGACCGGCCAGCAGGGCGCAGAGCAGCTGCGCGCGCGGGCGCTGCCGCAGGCCGCGGAACGCCGTGTTGGGGATGCGCTCCAGGATGCCGTCGTAGAAGATGCGGCGCGCGGCCTCCTGCTCGGCGGCGCGGAACTCGCGGATGCACACGCCGCGCCCCGCCGGCGGCCCCGCGGGCCCCGCGCCGCCCCGGGGCTGCGGGCCCGGCGCGGGAGGCGGCGCGGCGGCCGGGGCCGGCGCGGCGGGCAGCGGGGGCCACCCGGCGCCGGCGGCGGCGCGCAGCGCGCCCCTCCCGGGCCCCGGCAGCGCCTCGCGCTCCTCCGCGGCCACGATCTTCGTCTCGCAGACCATGTCGGGAGGCCCGCAATGCATGCACCCGGCGGGCGGCGCGGCGCGGGGACGCGGGCCGGGGCGGCGGGCACGGCCCGGGCCCAGGGCAGGGGCGGCGGCGGCGGCGGTGGCGGCGGCGGCGGCGGCTCAGGGGCGCGGGGCGGAGGCGGCGGGCGGCCGGGGCGCGCGCAGGGAGCTGCGCCGCATTTTGGAGAAGTATTTATAATGCGGCGGCGCCGGTGCGGTCGCGGCGCCCGGGGTCCCGCAGGGTCCTAGCGTCCACTGCATTGGCTGCCGAGGGTCACCATGTGATCTCGGGGGCGGGAGCGCCGCCGCCCCCGCGCCGCCCGGCCGCACGCGCCAGCGCCGCGCGGGGGGCGGCCCGCCGGGGCCCGCGCGGGCGCGGGCGGGGGGCGCGACGGGGCGGCTCGGCCGGGTCCGGCTCCGAGCGGCTCCCGGGCCCACTCGGCGGGGCGCGGGCTGCGGACGCCCCCCGCCCCGCCCCGGCGCGGGCGCGGAAGCGGCTCCCGCTCCCGACCCTTTGTCTGCATGGGCGCCCGGCCGGGGCCCCGGGGAGGCCGCGCTCCCGGCCCGCGCCCCCGGGATCCGCGGCCGGAAGAGAAGGGGCCGCGCCCGCGGCGCTGCCCACGTCACCCGTGCCCCGCGCGCCCCGCAGCGATGCCCCCTCCTCCGGACCCCGGCCCCGGGTCCTCGCGGCCAGCGGACGCAGGGGCGCCGGGACTGGGGGACCCGTCCGGGCTGGACCCCGCCCGCCGCGGCCCGCGCATGCGCCCCGGGGCCTCGGTGCAGGTGCAGCGGGCCCGTGGTCCCGCCATCCCGACATGCAGACGCAGTGGGCGGGCGCGGGGCACGGGTGTCCGCTCGCGGCGTCTGCGACTCCCCCACGGCCCGAGCAGCGCCCCACGCGCGCGGGGGGAATGTGGGGGCGAGGGGAGTCTGCCCGGGGGGGTGCGGACGGCGGGGCGCGCGGGGCGCCCAGCAGCGAGGCTAGGGGCGCAGGGAGGGGAGCGAGTCCTCCCCTCGGGCCCGGGGACCCCGCGGGGCGGCCGCCCCCGCCGGGCTGCAGGCGACCCCTCTGCCCGCACCGCCGGCCCGGGGCCTGGGCGCCCCCCAGGGACCAGCCCGGCCCGCGCCCGCCCCGGTTTCCTCGACGGCCGGACGCCCTCTGCCGGCGGCCTCCGCCTCCCGCGGCCCCCGAGTCCCGCTCGCCCCGGGGCAGCTGCGGTCGGGTGCGGGGCACCGCGGTGCGGCCGGGGGAGGTGCCTCGGCCTGGCCCGCGCGCTTCCCACGGGCTCCCACGCCCGTCCCGCCCTCCCGGGGTCCTGAGGCCGCGGGCGCGGAGGTCAGGCCCGGCTCGGCCTCGGATCGCCGCCCGCCGCGTGCGGTGGGCATCTGCCTCAGTCCGCGCGCCGGGCCCAGCCCAGCGTGGACACCGGGGGCCCGGCCGCTTCGGACTTTTCCGTGGAAACTTGGATTTCACTTCCCAAGACACTCAGCAAATACGGGGCTGGAGCCGGGCTCACGCGGAGGCTGGCGCCGGAGGATCGCGTTCAAAGCCAGATGGGGTAGGGAGAGGCTGGGAGACTCATCGCCAATGAGCCAGGAAACCGGAAGTGGAGCTGCGGCTCGAGGTGGTGGGGTGCGGAAGCTCGGGGGCAGGGCCCAGGCTGAGTTCAAGCCCCACCAAGGACAAGGGTCGTGCCCGGGGCTGAGCGAATCCGCACGTCCGCCGGGGCAGTCAGGGCTCCCCATCCTGGAAGAACCTTCGTCACCACTGCCTGCCCCCAGCCCTGCCCGCCAGCCCCCCACCGTGGAGAGAAGCCCTGGAGACTCAACTTGGGACTCGGGAGAGTCCGGCCAGTTCTACACTCCCTGGCTTCCAGTCAGGGCAGCCCAGGAGCAGGACACCACGGCCCCACTGTACACCACCACACACCACACAGCAGTCCCCGGGGCACCCCGTGCCCGTAGGTCCGTGAGGGTGGCTGGACATACAGTGTCCACTCTTGGCCTCAGTGCTTCTTTGGGACGGCTGCTGAAGGCCCGCCCCCCCCTGCAACAGCTAGGAGAACCAAGGTCCAGAGAGGGGCTCCACCAAAGACTCCTGGGGGGCGCAGGGGGCTCCACCAAAGACTCCTGGGGGCGCGGGGGGGGGGGGGGGGCCTCCACCAAAGACTCCTGGGGGCGCGGGGGGGGGCTCCACCAAACACTCCTGGGGGCGCGGGGGGGGGGGGGGGGGGGCTCCACCAAAGACTCCTGGGGGCTCGGGGGCAGGGGCAGAGCAGGAGGCAGGACACAGGCATGCCGGCAGGTGTTTATTGACAGTGAACCGGACTGGTCCTCAGCGCCCAGCAGGCCAGCAGGCACAAAGCGCCCTGCGCTCAGCCTGGAGCAGGAGGGTCTCCGTCTGCAAAGCAAAAGAAGGCTGTGAGGGTGGGGAACGGCCCCGCTGTCCACCCCGGGCCTGCAGCTGGCTTCTCCACCCACCGTGCACAGCCTGCTGGCATGACCACTCCACCTTTCAACCTCACTGCCTTGATTTCCCCAGAGCAACCCCTGTCCGCCCCATTCCTAACCACCACTAACTCCCAGCTTCTTGCAGCTCCCATCTGCTCAGGGCCCCCTCAAGCCCTGCAATGGCCGGGGCAGAGTGGGGGCTGCTCTTCCCTAGGCCCCATTCCAGACCCATTCCCGACTGTGGGGGCGGGGCCAGGCCCTCACACTTGAGCCGGGGACACTGGCTCCTGGGAGACCTCTCCCCTTGCAGGATTCTCTTCCAGGAAAGAGGCGATACCCTTGTGGGAAACAACATGCTAGGCCAAAGGCATCTGTGGTCATCTGGTTTAGGGGTTCTGGCGGACAAACGGGTCCCTCCCAGCGCCTCCCCACGAGGCCTGTCACGCCTTACTCCAGCCCCGCCTTCTTTTTGCCTCAGTTTCCTTTCAGACTCTGGACTGGGTCCCTACCTGGGGGTCCTGCACGGGGCTGCCCGCCCCTGGAGGACCAGATCTGCTATGCAACTTTCAGGACCACGCAGGAGCTAAACTTGAGCCACAGGGATGGGCCAGACTTGAACCCACTGACTGGGCCAGGCCCAAACCCATAGACTGGGCTGGGGCAGTCCCCTGGCTGTCCCCTTGGCTGACCCTGGCCATCCCCCAGGCTGACCCCTGCCTGTCCCCCAGGCTGACCCTGGCCATCCCCCCGGCTGACCCCTGCTTGTTCCCCTGGCTGTCCCCCAGGCTGACCCCTGCTTGTTCCCCTGGCTGTCTCCTTGGCTGACCTCTGGCTGTCCCCCTGGCTGACCCCTGCCTGTTCCCCAGGCTGACCCTGGCCATCTCCCAGGCTGACCCCTGCCTGTCCCCCAGGCTGACCCTGGCCATCTCCCAGGCTGACCCCTGCCTGTCCCCCAGGCTGACCCTGGCCATCTCCCAGGCTGACCCCTGCCTGTCCCCCAGGCTGCCTCCTTGGCTGACCTCTGGCTGTCCCCCTGGCTGACCCCGAAGGATGCGGCTCTCACCCGCGCGTCCAGACTGTAGGCCGTCTTGCGAAGGTCCTGCAGAGCGCGCTGCATGAACTCGAACGCGTGGCAGTCCACGCACGGGCGGCCTGCGGGGACGCAACAAGCATCACGCGACCTCCCCGCGCCCCGGGGACCGCAGGGCCGGTCCTCTGGAGCAGATCCCGGCCCGCCCTCCACCGGCACCTACTCTGCGCGGGGACGGCGCTCCCGGCGGCGGCGGCGGGCTCCGCGCGGGCGCCCAGCAGCGCCAGGCTCAGCACGAGCAGCAGCAGCAGCGGCGGCGGCGGCGGCGGCAGCCGGGAGCGGCTCGCGGGCGGGGGCGCCATGGCCGAGGAGGAGGCGGGGCCGCCCTGCGGCGAGTGCGGGGTCAGCCGCGGGCCGGGGCGTCGGCCCGGGCCACCGACGCCGGGCTGGGCCCCGCCCGGCCCGCGGACCCCGGCCCCACCCACCCGCCGGCCCCGGATCCCCTCCCGAGCCCGGGCTCCGGCCCCACCCACCCACCGCGGCCCCGGATCCCCTCCCGAGCCCGGGCCCTGGCTCCCCTCGCGGGCCCCGGCCCCGGCCCCGAGCCCGGCTCCCTTCCCGGGCCCGCGGACCCCGGCCCCACCCACCCACCGCGGCCCCGGATCCTCTCCCGGAGCCCGGGCCCCGGCCCCACCCACCCACCGCGGCCCCGCCCACCCCGGCCCGCGGTCCCCCGCGCCGCTTCAGCGCCCGGGGTTCGATGCCCGGCCCGCACACAGCCCGGCCCGCGACCTCACCCCGCCGCACCCCGGCTTCGAGAACCCACCGGCCCGCCCCGCCCTTACCGCGGTTCAGACGCCGCGACCAGCAGCGCCCGCGCCTCGAGACGACGCGCGGGGCCGCAGCGCACGCGCACGCGCGGGCCGACCCCGCCCGGGCCGGACGTCGTCGTCATGGAAACCCGGGGGCCGCGCGCGCCGTGCCCGCAGACGCCACCGCGCGGGGCCCCCCCGCACCCCGCCCCGGGGCTGCGGCGCAGACAAAGGCGGCCCGGCCGCCGAGCCCGCGCCTCCCGGGAGCCGGCGGGACGAACCGAGGGGCCGCAGCGGCCGGGTTCGTCCCTGGGACTCGGGGCGCCCGCAGATCCGCTCCCGACGCGGGGCCGGCTGCGCTGAGACCGCGCGGGGAGGGAGCGCAGGGCCCCCCCGCCCCGGTCCCGCGGCGGCTGTGGTCGCGGGGCCCGTGGGATGGAGCCGCTCTCGGATTCTCCGGTGAACCGCGACCGCGGGGAAGCTGCCACGCCTGGATGCGGGGGGTCACGGCCGGGTGACCGGCCAGGGGGGGCCGCAGCCCGCACCCCACGCCGCACGGCCCCGCCCCCTCCTCCCACCCCCCTCCCCGCACCTCGCCCCGCCCCGCGGCCGCCCGCACCGCGCCAGCCCAGCGAGTCCTCGTCTCAGTGAGCAGGGTCGTGAGCTGGGTGCGGTGGCGAGCCGCAGCCCCAGCTGTGCGGGAGACTGCGGTGAGGAGATTTGAGGTTCTGAGGCCAATCTAAGGGGCGAGGGGAGAGAGAGAGAGACAGAGACCAAGAGAGAGCGAGCAGAGAGCGCGAGCGCGGGACCCTGCTGGAGAAGAAGAACGCAGAGCCGCGGTTCGGGCGCGGCAGCCTCCGCCCTCACCTCGGTGCTGCTGAGCAGCCCCGCCCCCCGCGAGGCCCCGCCCAGGGACGCGCCCACTCCGCCCGGGCAGCCCCGCCCCCGCGAGGCTCCGCCCAGGGACGCGCCCTCTCCGCCCGGGCAGCCCCACCTCCCGAGAGGCCCCGCCCAGGGGCGCGCCCACTCCGCCCGAGCAGCCCCGCCTCCCGCGAGGCCCCGCCTCCCGAGAGGGCCCGCCTCCCGCGAGGCCCCGCCTCCCGCGAGGCCCCGCCTCCCGCGAGGCCCCGCCCAGGGACGCGCCCACTCCGCCCGGGCAGCCCCGCTTCCGCGAGGCCCCGCCCAGGGATCCGGGCAGTCCCGCCCCAGCGAGGCTCCGCCCTCGCCACGCCCACTCCGCGCGGCCCCGGCCCGGGCCCCGCCCTCGGGACGCCTCCGTCGGTCACCCACCGTCTTTCTGCTCGACCTGCAGCCGCCCCCCGCTGTCGGACGGACGAGAGCCGGTGGTTCGTGCCTGTCGTCCTAGCCGCTCAGAGGGCTGGGAGCGGGGGACCGCGGTTCGGAGCCAGTCTAGGCAGGAGAGTCCGGAGACTCTTACATCCAACAGGCTGGAAGTGGCGCTGTGGCTGAAGCGGTAGAGCGCTCGCCCCGAGCGGCGGAGCGAGGCCCGCCGCCGACCAGAGAGAGAGCAGCACCGGCCGGGAGGGCCACGGCCCGAGCCCCGGGCCTGGCCGGCGGCTGCGGGCCCGAGCCGGCGGAGAGCCCGGGGGGAGGAGCCGCCGCCGCCACGCCGCCCCCCCGCCGTTCCCCCCGCCGCCGCCACGCCGCCCCCCCCGCCGTTCCCCCCCCGCCGCCGTCCCCCCACCGCTGTCCCCGCCCCCCCGTCCTCCCCCCGCCCCGCCGTCTCCCCCACGCCGCCGCCACGCCGCCCCCCCCGCCGTTCCCCCCGCCCCGCCGTCTCCCCCACGCCGCCGCCACGCCGCCCCCCCGCCACGCCGCCCCCCCCCGCCGTTCCCCCCGCCCCGCCGTCTCCCCCACGCCGCCGCCACGCCGCCCCCCCCGCCGTTCCCCCCCCGCCGCCGTCCCCGCCCCGCCGTCTCCCCCACGCCGCCGCCCCGCCGTCCCCCGCCACGCCGCCCCCCCCCGCCGTTCCCCCCCCCCGGCCGCCGCCCCCCCGCCGTTCCCCCCCCGCCGCCGTCCCCGCCCCGCCGTCCCCCCCACCGCCGTCCCCGCCCCCCCGTCCTCCCCCCGCCCCGCCGTCTCCCCCACGCCGCCGCCACGCCGCCCCCCCGCCGTCCCCCGCCACGCCGCCCCCCCCCCGCCGTTCCCCCCGCCCCGCCGTCTCCCCCACGCCGCCGCCACGCCGCCCCCCCGCTGTTCCCCCCCCCCCCCGGCCGCCGCCCCCCCGCCGTTCCCCCCGCCCCGCCGCCGCCGTGCCCCGCCCGCCCCGCCGTGAGAGCCACCCCCAAAGCCATGCACGCACATGCACTGTCAGGAAGGACGTCCAGCTGCCCGGTGCCTAGGAAGAGGCTCGCAGAACCCTCGGCCCCCTTGCTGCTGCCGGCGCTACAGAAGCTGCCTGGGAGCCCGTGGCAGCCAGGGAGAGGCAGCCTGGTGGCCACGGAGGCCCAATCCCAAACAATAACCCACACGAGAGGGGCTGAGGCGGTGACAAGGCGTAGCGAAGCTGTGTAGCAAACTTGAGGTCTTGAATTCAAACACCCCCCCAAAACGGGGAGGGTTGGCTAATTCTTGGTACCATGCCACACAGGGGCCTGCAGTCAGAGGAAGGCCCGGCCGGGCGCTGCCAGGGCCCAGGGCCCCTCCCCACGGCAGGTGTGGCCCACACCAGTTGTTTTCTGGCCAGATCCAGCAAGCCCGTAGCCGGCTCTGCACCTGAACAATGCACAGCTCCCTGAGGAAGCATCTGCAGGGTCTCAGCCGGCCCCGCCCTCAGCAAGGCTTCGGGGAGCCCCACTGCTCTACTCTGCAACCTCTGTGTTCCTGTGAATTGTAATGTGTGATCTGCAAAGGAGCATTACTAGTTAAGATTGGATAAAAAACTGATCGCTGACGGCTCATGGTTATCAAGTCAAAGTAGTAGTACTTGATGAATTAAGGCTAATGAAAATGCACTTTATAAATTGATTCCCATACTGGGAGTTAAACCCAAGGCCTTGCACATGACAGGCAGGCACCTCACCACCTAAGCTACACCATTAACCCGTGTGTGTGCCAGTCCTAGTGCTTGGTCTGTGGGCCTGGGCCCTGTCCCTCAGCTCTTCAGCTCAAGGCAAGTGCTTTACCACTTGAGCCACGGCATCATTTCCAGTTGTCTGGTGGTTCATTAGAGATAAGATCTCACAGACTTTCCTGCCTTGGATGGCTTTGATACAGGATCCTCAGATCTCAGCCTCCTGAGTAGCGGGGCTTACAGGCCTGGCTTGCGTTTCATCTTCCTGCAGTCTTGTTAACTCACTGTGGAGTGTGGGTCAGCCCGCTCTTCAGGCAGGACCTGCCTCATCAGGATTCCTCCTCAGAAATTCCCCCGGTTTACCCTCCCCACACCTGTCCCCCTGGAGGGCCAGAGAGATCCGCTGGACCTCAGGCCTCACAGGCTGGGCTTGAGCCCCTGCCATGGTTACCTGCGCACACTGCCGCTCTAGCTCACAGCCTGTGGCTTCACCCAGAACGGCCACCAAACCAGCAGCCACGCTGGGAAACTGGTACTTTTTCAGAGAGGGTGATTTATTTTTATTTATTATAAAGATGGTATATAGAGGGAGTTACCGTGACGTAAGTCATGTGCATTTCATTGTGGACGATGCCACCCCTTCCTCCACTCTTTCCCCCTGTCCCACCCACAGCTGTGTACAGTTCATTTTCCACATGATGTCCAGTGAGTCAACTTTTATTCTGTCGGTCATGGGGCTTGAACTCTGGACCTGGGCACTGTCCCTGTGCTCTTCAGCTCAAGGCCAGTGCTCTACCACTTGAGCCACAGTGCCACTTCCGGACCCAAAAAAAAATCATATATTTATTTAAATTTATTTTTGTCGGTCGTGGGGCCTGAACTCTGGGCCTGGGCACTGTCCCTCAGCTCTTCAGCTCAAGGCTAGTGCTCTAGCACTTGAGCCACAGCGCCACTTCCGGCTTTTTTTCTTTTTGCTTATGTGGTACCGAGGAATCGAACCCAGGTCCTCAGGCATGCAAGGCAAGTGCTCTACCACTGAGCCACCTTCCTAGCCCAATACATTTTTATTTTGAACAGTCACATGGAGACTATAAAGACAGTCATTGTACTTGATTAGTTGGTGAATTTTTTTGCCTTCTTTCATGATCTCCTCAGTCTTTTTTCCAATGGATATAAGGTTTCCTACAAAACACAGTACACTTGTCTGGGAAGAGATAGTACATTAGGTTACGTTACAATTACAAATGTGGTGGCATCCATGCAACAAGTGTGTTAGGGCTGGGCACTGGTGGCTCATGCCTGTCATCCTAACTACACAGGAGGCTGAGATCTGAGGACTGTGGTTCAGAGCTAGCTTCAGCAGGAAAGTCTGTAACAGTCTTTTATTTCCAAATAGCTACCAAGAAGCCAGAAATTGAGCTACTCAAAATGGTAGAGTATTAGCCATAAGCAAAAGCTCAGGGACAGCACCCAGGCCCTGAGTTCAAGCTGCAGGACCAGCGCGCACACATAAAACCTTTTTCAAAAATGAGTACAGAAATAGTCACTGCTTGCCATTGGGAGCCGATGGCCTAGACCTGTAATCCTAGCTACTCCAGAGGCTGAGATCTTAGGATCATGGTTCAAAGCCAGCCTGGGCAGGAACATCCATGAGACTCTTATCTCCAATAAACCACCAGAAAACTAGAAATGGTGCTGTGGCTCAAGTGGTAGAGTGCTTGCCTTGAGCTGAAGAGCAGAGGAACAGAGCTCAGGCCCAGAGTTCAAGCCCCATAACTGACAAAAAAAAAAAGGCAGGCAGGGAAAGAAGGAAGGAAGGAAGGAAGGTAAGGAGGGAAGGAGGGCGGGAGGAAGGGAGGGAAAGAGAAAGGAAGTAAGGAAGGAGAGGGAGGGAGGGGGGGAGAGGGGGGAGAGGGAAAGAGAGGGAGAGGGAGGGAAGGAGGGAGGGAGAGAGAGAGAGGGAAAGAGGGAGAGGGAGGGAGGGAGGGAGAGAGGGAGAGAGAGAGAGAGAGAGAGAGAGAGAGAGAGAGAGAGGAAAGCAATAGTCACTGCTGACAAAGATAATGAACGTCATTCAAAACCTAAAAAAAAAAAAAGAAGCCGAAGACCAGGTGGCTGAACAAGGAGCAGCAGCAGCTGCTGCAGGTGCAGATAAAACGTCAGCAAAGGTCCCGGGCCTGGAGCAAGAGGGAGAGGCACACTGCACACAGGGGCCCTGGGGAGTCCAGATGAGAGGCTGCCAGCCTTCCTGTGGTGAGCCCGCCCCTCTCACCACTGACTTATGTGCATTCCCTTTGCGTTCTAAATGGGAACCCACTGTTGGCTAATTCCTTCTTCTAGACATGTCTCATTTTGGTTTAGCCAAATGTGTACCACAATTTTCCTGAAAACCTAAAACTGGATTCCAAGACAGGCGATGGTGGTTCACACCTGTAACCTCAGCAACTCGGAAGCAGACAGGAGAATCCACTCAAGGTTAGCCCACACAAAAGTTAGTGAAACCTTATCTTAAAAAGGGGCTGGGAAGGCGGCTCAGTGGTAGAGTGCTTGCCTCACATGCACAAGGCCCTGAGTTCGATTCCTCAGCACCACATAAGCAGAAAAAGCTCGAAGTGGTGCTGTGGCTCAAGTGGTAGAGTGCTAGCCTTGAGCATAGAGAGGCTCAAGGACAGAGCCTGGGCCCTGAGTTTAAGGCCCAGGACTGGCAATAATAATTTAAAAAAAAAAAAAAAAAAAAGGCTGGCGTGGTGGCACATGCCTGAGGTTCAGCTGGAAGAGGGTTTACTGAGAGACCACTGCCAGCCACGCAAGACAGAGGCACGGGGCGCAGGAGAGCTTGTGACAGAGGAAGAGAGTGTACAGGGGCGACTGCCTGTGTGTGTCCACACAGACACAGAGGTGGCCTCAGAGCCTGGGGACCTCCCACTTACACCCCCTCCCATGCTAGCTGCAAGGACTTCCCTTCTGGGTGCATGGGGAGAGCAGCAAGGGAAGGGGCCATTTCTCCCAGGTGGACTCAACATCAATTACTTGAGAAAAATCATAAATTGAGCCCAGATTGGGCAAGGTTAGCTGAATATCATATCTGAGGAAGACAAACTAAAAGGAAAAAGAAAATGGCTGGGACGTGGCTCAAGTGGTAAAGTACCTGCCTAACAAGCTTGAGGCCCTATGGTCAATCCTTAGTCTAGGGGGTGGGAGAGGATAATAGTAATTAAAAAAAAAAATGGTTTTAAGGATCTAAAACCCAAGACTTAGAAAGCCACAAACCATTACCTTCCATATCTTGGAGCTGGGCGCTGGTGTCTCACACCTATAATCCCAGCTGCCCAGGAGGCTGAGATATGAGAAGGGCTCGAAGCCAGCCCTGGCAGAAAGTCCATGAGACTCACCTCCAATTAACCCCAAAAAGGCAGAAATGGGGCTGTGACTTAATTGGCAGAATGCCAGCTGTGATTGAAAAGCTAATGGATAACACCCAGGCCCTGAGTTCAAGTCTCAATATTGACAAAAAAAATCATTGGGGACTGGAGGTATGACCCAGTTGGTAAAATGTCCTCTGTGTGCAAACAAGCAGAATGAAAGGGAGAGAGTGAGAAAAGTGAGGGGGGGGGAGAGAGAGGGAGAGAGAAAGAGAGAAAGGAGGGGGAGAGGAGGGGAGGGGGACAAAGAGAGGGGGAGAGATGGATCTAATCCAAGCTATTCAGCAGCTATTTGAAGGTTGCAGTTGGGAGCCAGCCCAGGTTCTCCAATGAACCAAGGAGCTGGAGGTGGAAAAGCCCGAAGACTACCAGATCCTGCGTGTCGGGGTCCACCTGCAGCAAGTCTGTTTGCTGGCTAAGTGCACGGATGGTGCTGGACTTCCCTGCCTGGGAGGCTCTGCCCTCGGCCCTGGGATCGCGGCACCCGGCCTGCTCGCGCGTCCGTGACGGGGTCTCTCTACCAGGCAGGCTGGGCCCCACCGGTCCTCTCAGCCCCGCCTCCCCACGAAAGGAAAAGCTTCCTCTCTTCCGGGCCGGTGTCCAGCGGCTGCAGGCCGCCAGGCCTTCCTAGGACGCGGCCGGAACCCCGGCGGGGCGCCAAAAGGTGGGGGGCCTCAAAACCCGCGTGCGGGCGTCCGGCGCCGGGGTTCGCGCCGAGACCCCCGGCGGCCGCGCCCCGGCCCGGGGCCCGCGGCCCGAGCGCCGGGCCCGAGCGCAGGCCGGGGCGACGTGAAGCCAGGGAGCTGCGACTGCGCGGGGCGGACGGCCGCAAGTGGCTGTGGCGCAGGCGGAGCCGAGGAGCGCGCGGACAGCGCCCGGGCCCCGGCCCAAGGCCCACGGCCGGCAAAAGTGTAACAGGAGACGAGGAGGACGAAACGCCGGCCCCGCGGGGCCGGGGGCGCGGGCCGCGGGGCCGGGGGCGCGGGCGGCCGGGCCGCGGGGCCGGGCCGGGGCGCGAAGCACGAGGGCGCGACCGCGGCTCGGCGTGACGCCATCCCCGGGCGCCGGGCGCGGGCGCCGGCGTGACGCGGTACGGAGGCCGGCGCGCGCGTCCGCCGCCCTCCCTCGCTCCGGCCCGCGCCCGCTCGCTCGCTCGCTCCGGCTCCCGGGCGTCGTCGCCGGGCTGCAGCGCGAAGGCGCGGCCCGCGCCGGCCCCCGCCGGCCGCGCACGCTCGCCGCCCGAGGCCCCGCCCCGCGCCGCGGCGCCGCCATGTCGGGGGCGCTCGCCGGGGCCGCGGCCGCCTCCTAAGATGCCGGCTGGCGCGCGCGGCCGCCCCCAAGATGGCGTCCATGCGGGGAGAGCGACACCGGGCTGTGGCTGCACAACAAGCTCGGCGCCACCGACGAGCTGTGGGCGCCGCCCAGCATCGCGTCCCTGCTCACGGCCGCCGTCATCGACAACATCCGCCTCTGCTTCCACCGCCTCTCCTCGGCCGTGAAGCTCAAGCTGCTGCTCGGGACGCTGCACCTCCCGCGCCGCACGGTGGACGAGGTGAGGGGCCGGGCCCCGCCGCGCTCCCCCACCTCCCCGCTCCCCCACCTCCCCGCTCCCCCACCTCCCCGCTCCCCCACCTCCCCGCTCCCCCACCTCCCCGCTCCCCCACCTCCCCGCTCCCCCACCTCCCCGCTCCCCCACCTCCCCGCTCCCCCACCTCCCCGCTCCCCCACCCCGGGCCCCGCCGCGCTCCCCCACCTCCCCGCTCCCCCACCTCCCCGCTCCCCCACCTCCCCGCTCCCCCACCTCCCCGCTCCCCCACCTCCCCGCTCCCCCACCTCCCCGCTCCCCCACCTCCCCGCTCCCCCACCTCCCCGCTCCCCCACCTCCCCGCTCCCCCACCTCCCCGCTCCCCCACCCCGGGCCCCGCCGCGCTCCCCCACCTCCCCGCTCCCCCACCTCCCCGGGCCCGGCCCCCGCCGCGCTCCCCCCCTCCCCCCCGCCTCTCCCCAGCCGGCCGACCCGTCCCCTGCGCGGTGGGCTGCCGGCCCTCGACCCGTCCCCTGCGCGGTGGGCCTGCCGGCCCTCGACCCGTCCCCTGCGCGGTGGGCTGCCGGCCCTCGACCCGTCCCCTGCGCGGTGGGCCTGCCGGCCCTCTGCCGCGGCGGCGGCCGACTCCGCTCGGTCGCCTTGGCCGTGCCCAGTGCACGGGAGTCGGGCAGCCGCCCCTCGCCGCCGCGGCGGAGGGGGAACAGGCCCCACTGGCTCTGTTCCCGGCGGAGCGTCCTGACCGCTCTGGGGTGCGGGGACCTCAGACCCGCAGCGACAGGGGCGAAGCCTCCTCCGCGTCCGGGCACAGAGCGCCGGGTCCCTTGAGCACGTACCTCCCGGGCGGCCGGTAGTGAGCCACGGCACGCACACGGGACTGCGTGTGTGTTCCACTTAGCAAATACCAATAGCAGAGTGGCCATACCTTTAGCCCCGTGCAGGTAAGCAGGGCACCCCTACCCACAGCCACAGGCCCGTGCGCCAGCAGCCGCGTTGCGTCCCCTGTGGGTATGGACTTTAGATGCATTCCTAACCAGCGTAGTCTGGTTTCGCCTAGTTTGAATACAGTAGATGTGTCAAGTTTGTGTGTATTCTGTGTGCAGTGTGTGTCACTTCATTGCTGTGGAATTCCATGCTCATCCTACACCACGCTGCCCATTCTATTCTAGGGAGAGAGTTTCTACCTAGTTTCTTTTTTCTTTGTGAAAAAATGCTCATACTAGCATTATTATATGCTCATACATATTTCTCTAAGAATGAGATTGCTGGTACTGGTATTTTTCAAAGTAGTTGTATTAAATAGTATTCCTCAGCAAAATGTCTGTCTAGTGGATGTATAATATTACTAGGTGATCTTAATTTGTGTCTGCCTTGATCAAACATTTTTATTTGCTTTCTCTGGTGGGATATCTGTTCAAAGCTCTTTTTCTGATTGTATTTTAAAATATGTATGTATATATATATATATATTGTCAATTGTGGGTCTTGAACTCTGGGCCTGGGCACTGTCCTTCAGCTCAAGGCTAGTGCTCTACCACTTGAGCTACAACACCACTTCCGGTTTCCTGGTGGTTTATTGAAGATAATCTCATGGAGGAGTTGGGAAGGTGGCTCAGTGGTAGAGCACTTGCCTTGCATGCCTGAGGCCCTAAGTTCTATTCCTCAGCATCACATAAGCAGAAAAAGCTGGAAGTGGTGCTGTGGCTCAAGTGGTAGAGCACTAGCCTTGTGCTGAAGAGCTGAGGGACAGTGCCCAGGCCCAGAGTTCAGGGCCCCCCAACAAAACAAAAAAAGAATCTCATGGGCTTTCCTGCCCAGACTGGCTTTGAACCGTGATCCTCAGATCTCAGCCTCCTGAGTAGCTAGGATTACAGGTGTGAGCCACTGGCGCCTGGCTTGCATCCCACTTTTTGATTCTTTTTTTTTTTGGGTCCGGTCGTGGGGCCTGAACTCTGGGCCTGGGCGCTGTCCCTCAGCTCTTCAGCTCAAGGATAGCGCTCTACCACTTGAGCCACAGTGCCACTTCCGGCTTTTTTCTTTTTGCTTATGTGGTGCTGAGGAATCGAACCCAGGGCCTCATGCATGCAAGGCAAGCACTCTACCACTAAGCCACCTTCCCAGCCCCTGCATCCCACTTTTTATTCATTGAGATGGAGTCTAGTGAACTCTTGTTCAGGTTAAATCATGACCCTGTGATCTCTGCTTTCCATGTGACTAGTCTTACAGGTATGAGCTACTGGACCTATTTTTCCTTTTCTTGATCTGTTTCACCAGATAGTTACCAATTTTATAACTTCTCAAGGGACTTCTTACTTTCTTTTTTTTTTCAGTTGTGGGGCCTGAACTCTGGCCTTAGGTGCTGTCCCTCAGATCTTCAGTTCAAGACTAGTGCTCTACCACTTGAGCCACAGCACCACTTCCAGCTTTTTCTGCTTATGTGGTGCTGAGGAATCGAACCCAGGGCCTTGTGCATGTGAGGCAAGCTCTCTACCACTGAGCCACCTTCCCAGCCCTTGTTTTAATAATTGTTGCACTAATTTTCTTATTTATTTTTTTCCTAAGCGCTTGAAATGGATGTCAGCCTCATTTGTCGGCCTTTTTGCATATAAAGCTACAGATTTTCTTGCAATTAAAGCTTTTAGCTGCATCTGACAAGCGTTTGGGTGTGCCCATGTGTATGCTCACACTCACTTAGCTCTCTTGTTCATGGCTAGTGCTCTACCTGAGCCACACTGGCAGTTGCAACTTTTTGATGGTTAGAGATGCGTCTTTGGATTTGTCTGCCCAAGCTGGCTTTGAACCATAGTCCTCAGATCTCAGCCTGCTGAGTACACAGGCATGAGCCACTGTGCTCAGTTTTGATGCAGTGTGCTCATAATCGTTTCAGTTTTTTCTAGTTTCTCTGATAATTTCTTCAGCAATACTTGTGTGATTTAGAAATGCTTCTTAAGTTTTACGCCTCTTGAGGGGAGAGGTCTGGGGCATGTTTTTGTTAGTGATTTTCAGACAATGTGGCCCAAGTTACTTCAGTTACTTGATGGGAAAATACCTGGCAGGTGTGATCACAAGTTTTAAGATCCCGTGCTCAGTTACACGTGTCAGTTAGGTAAAGTATGCCGAGTTACACTGTACAGGTTCTGTTCACACGCATTTTTTCCTCAGTTAGTGAGGGAATATTTGGTTGCTGCGGTGTGGTGACGTGGACTTGTTTCTTCCTTTTTGCAGTGCCCTAGGCCTTGTGCGTGAAGCTCACTCTCTGATGAGCTTCAGCCCTGCTGTGGCTTGTGCAGAAGTCATTAGGGGTGTTCTTTTGTTTCTTGAGTGCTCTGTAGGCAGATAGGTCATTGGTGCATCAGATTATCTGTCCTTGAGATTGGGGATCTGTTTTCCTATGTGTTTTGATTCCATGGTCTTCAAATATGCAATAGATATGTGAATTTGGAGTGTATGCTTAAGCATGTACACGTGTGGGTCTTCTGGAAGTCTGTTCAAAACTCTGCTCTGCCTCTAGTCCTCCAGCCCCCTGCAGAATGGCGCACGTAGCAGTGTGGCTTGGTCACTGTCTCCTCACTCAGTGCCCTGAGTAATGTCTCTCTCCTTCCTGGCACTGCATTAGCAGAGTTCCATACACTGGGCAGCCCGAGCACAGGAGCGTCTCTGGCTGTGATGGCCAGAGGTCCAATCATGGTGCCTGCAGGTCTGTGTTCTGGCAGTCTTGAGAGTTTCATGGCCATCGGTGCATCCGACACTCCAGTTGTTTGGCTGTATTCTCTGTGTGCACGTCTGTGTCTCTATTCTTGTGGTGCTGAGTTGGGGTGGGGACTGCAGCATTTTGGGGGTATCCTTGGCCAGCTCCCCCCACGCCGAAGGGCAGTTAGGGACACGTGCCTGTTGGTGGTGGCTCTGGGGTCAGCTCTTACTTCCTAGGTAGAGTATTGGTGACCTTGACTTCTCAACCTTCAGGTTTTGTTATTTCTGTCCCCACGCATGTAGCAGGTCCGGAGGACTGGATGTGGCCAGCGCTGTCGGGGAGACCACAGGCTGCTGGGCCAGGGCAGATGTGCGGACTGTGGTCGAGTAGGGGATGTGGAGGATGCAAGTAGCGTGCCTTAGGAGAGCTGCGTCTCGAGGGCGGGCAGGGGCTGTGGCGGTACCAGGCAGCCTCACTCTCTCCGTAGATGAAAGGCGCTCTGATGGACATCATCCAGCTTGCCGCCCTGGACTCTGACCCCTGGGTTCTCATGGTTGCCGACATCCTCAAGTCCTTTCCTGACACCGGCTCCCTCAACCTTGACCTAGAGGAGCAGAACCCCAACGTGCAAGATATTCTAGGAGAACTTAGAGAAAAGGGTGCGTAATGTGGCTTTATTCTGTGTTGGGAAGAAGGTGGTGACGTTTCTGAGTTGCGTTTGACTTTCAAGTTGTTTACTGTGTACTTGGTGCAGTTCCTGAAATATGGTGTGTGCACTGGCCCTGTGTGCACCTGTGAACCCTCCAACCCTGCATGCTGCTGTCTGGCTGCACGCAGGTTATTGGACAACAAGCTTGTCCTGGCTGTATGTCCTGTGCCTGCTGTGCTCAATTGAGTTGCTCACTGATACTTTTTTTAGCCACTTGCTTTTGGTCCCCAAAGCTGGGGATCCAATCTCTGCTGGTTGTGTTGTCCAGAGTCTGTGACAGAACCAGAATCTTCATCCACGGAGGTATTGCTGGCCTAAAAATGTGGGCCGTCCCCTGGCCAGCATGTGGCTGTGAAGTACTTGGACATTTGCAGCCAGTTTTAGAGAACATGCGGGGAAGGCTGGCGAGTCTGTGCTGTGCCCTTTCTCAATTTCCTTCTGACTTTGGGGAGTTGAAATTGGGTCCCAGAGCATCTGTTCTGGGTGGTGCCGCACACTGCGGGCTGCACACAGCCTGACCCCTGTGGCTTCTCATGTCCCTTCTTTTTTTTTGGTCACTCATGGGGCTTGAACTCTGAGTCTTGGCGCTGTCCCTCAGCCCTTCAGCTCATGGTGAGCGCTCTGCCACTTGAGCCACAGCGCCACTTCCGGTTTTCTGGTGGTTTATTGGAGATAAGAGTCTCAGACTTTCCTGCCTGGGCTGGCTTTGAACCGGGAGCCTCAGATCTCAGCCTCCTGAGTAGCTAGGATGACAGGCGAGAGCCACCGGAGCCCGGCTTGCTCTGTAGTTGTAAACACAGCTGTGGTGTGGAGAGCTTTGCTCCACACAGAGCTGCTTCGTGGTGGCTGTCCTGAGGGGCCCAGGCCTGGGTGCAGCAAACTCACTTTTTACAAGTCTGTGCTTTTCCCAGGGTAGTTGGGAAGCTAACTCCTGCCGCAGGGGTCCTCTGATGCCCTGGGGACAGCTTCCTGACTCACATGCTCGGTCACAGACTCAGCTTTGTGCAGCCCCCTGGGGCTGCATTCCGGGGGGAGCAGCCTGAGGTAGCCACGGGCTCTTCTTCTGCTGAGCGCTCAGCGGCAGATGAAAGGACAGTGCGCGTGTGCAGCACCGCGTTAACCAGCCAGAAGGAAGGAAGCCTGTTAGGGCAGGGAAATGGGTGCAGCAGAAGACAGCGCGTTACATGAAGTAACACCAGACTCAAAAGGACAAGTTAACAAAAAGTAGAGCGATGTGGCTATTCAGACTAGTAAGGAAGGGGCGGGGTGGGTGTGAGAGAAAAGGTGGAGATGGTGGGAGCAGAGGCCACCCACGAAAGGGGGTAAGTACAGTACGCACTGACAGCGACAAGTGTCCGGAGGCCGCTGCCGCCATGAGGGAGTGTCGACATGGTGTGTGTGTGTCCTGCGGCCCCAGCTGACGGGCACCAGGGTGTGCCTAGCCTCTTCTGGGCCTTTCCATTGTCCTTGGGTTGTGGAGCTGGAGCCAAGGGGAGACCAGTGTTTGGGGATGGGGATGGAGCCAGGGCGCCAGGGCTGGGCCGGTCACGCGGAGGCTGCCTCAGGGAGCCCTGACTGTGCTTGGCCCTCCACAGTGGGGGAGTGCGAGGCCTCGGCCATGCTGCCGCTGGAGTGCCAGTACCTGAACAAGAACGCCCTGACCACGCTGGCCGGGCCACTCACCCCGCCCGTGAAGCACTTCCAGCTCAAGCGGAAACCCAAGAGCGCCACGCTGCGGGCCGAGCTGCTGCAGAAGTGTGAGTGCCGCGCCGCGCGTGCCCCCGGCCCCGCGTCCAGGCCCCTTTCCACTCGGCAGCACCGGCGGCTGGGAACGGGTTAAGGGCTGCCGTGAAAAGGCTCTTGGAAGCCTCTGGCCCCCCGGGAGCGGGGCCCACGCACAGAGCCCAGCCGCTGCCTGTGTGGAAGGTGTGCAGGGCGGCCCGCGGCCGCGGTGGAACTTGGGTGGGTTCATAGTGAGCCAGGCGCCTCCTTGCAACCCACCACCGCCGCGGGCGCTGACCGACGTGTTGTTCCTTGTGTAGCCACGGAGACTGCGCAGCAGCTGAAGAGGAGCGCGGGGGTGCCGTTCCACACCAAGGGCCGGGGGCCGCTCCGCAAGATGGACACCACAAGTGAGGCGGGGCAGGCGGGGCTTACCTGTGGGGGGCCGGCCGGCTGGTCCGGCCCTCCGGAGAGAGAATGGGCTCTGCCCCCCGGGCCTCACACGCAGCTCTAGGTGTCTGAGTATTGGCCTGAGGCCTGGGCGCATTTATCCATTCTTCTTTGGGCTGGAGCTTCCCCAGGGCCGCGTGCACCCCCTGGCAGGTTCTGGACAAGTAGCGTTCAGGAGCCAGGCCAGGCCAGCAGCCCCTCTGCCCTAGGGAGCTGGGGCTGCCTGCGCCACCTTGTCTTGCCACGTTGCTGGTCCCTGTGGGCCCCGCGTCTGCCACCCAGACCCCTGCCCAGCACCCTCCATCTCCACCTCCTCCGGGGCAGGCGCTGCACCTGCTTCACCAGGGGAGGGGCCTGTGGCCCTGCGTGTTCTTGGATGCAGTCCTGCTGCACACAGCTCAGTGGGAGCCTCTGCCCCCATGCCAAGGGCGCTGGTGGGGGAGTGTCCACAGGTGCAGTGCACACCAGGGCAGGGCGCGGTTGGCCGGGGACCTGGGGTCTCCTTGGGGAAGTGTGAGGAGCCAGCGCTCGTGCCTGTGTAGCGGTCAGCACACCGATGGTGTCTGGCTTTGTTAGCTGTTTGAGCTGGGCTGTCAGTGCAAGGCTTTTCTTCTACGTAAGCGTCCCAGGTGGCCTTGGTTCCTCTGGGCCTGGGGTCCTGGGGTCCTTGGCCAGCTGGTATCCTTCCTGCCGGCCCTCCCAGTGTGCCACAGGCCCCTTGTATCTGCTGGGACAGCGGACAGCAAGCCTGGTTTTTTTTTGTTTTTTTTTTTAAGCAAGCCTGGTTTTTGCAACTGACTTTCACATCCGTGCTGAGCGACCCTGGCGGGATCAGCTCGTTTGGAGATGGGCAGACGGGCTGAGTGATCCAAGACAGCCCCTCCCCACGGTCCTCCGAGGCAGCTGTTCCTGGCCCACTCTGAGGTCACCAGGGTCTGACGGTGCCTTCTCCCCTCCAGCCCCGCTCAAAGGCATCCCGAAGCAGGCCCCCTTCCGGAGCCCGACCGCGCCCAGCGCCTTCAGCCCCACCGGGAACCGGACCCCCATCCCACCCTCAAGGACGCCGCTGCGGAAAGAAAGGGGCGTGAAGGTGTGGTGCCCCGCATGCGTGGTGCCCCACAGGGCTGGGCCAGCCCCTGGTGCCACAGCTAAGTGCAGAGCTTGTGTTTACTTTGGCAGCTCCTGGATATTTCTGAGCTGGACATGGTTGGTGCTGGCCGAGAGGCAAAGAGGAGGAGAAAGACCGTGGGTGCGTGCAGGGTGTCGCCTGTCTCTAGAGGGGCGTGGGGGAGGGGAGGTGGGGGCTGCGTTGTTGCTGTCTCTGGGTGGTGTGTGCAGCCGTTGGGACCAGGCTGCGTGCCTGGGGCACTGAGAAAGTCTGAGGCTCCTCTCCCCACACTGCACCCTGCTCACCACTCTCCCTGGTGATAGCCTTTTCCCAGGGAGTCCCTGCTGGTCGCGTGGAGACACCATGAGGTGCCTGTGCTGGTTCCCCAGCCCCTGGGGGGACACAGGGCCTTGTGAGCCAGCAGGGCTCTTCGGGACTAACGCACCATGCTGTGTCCACAGATGCGGAAGTGGTGGAAAAGCCAGCCAAGGAGGAAACGGTAGTGGAAAACGCCACGCCGGACTATGCGGCTGGCCTGGGGTCCACACAGGTACGGCTCCTGTGTCCCTGCCAGCACCGCCACCAGGAGGCAGCGCACGGGTGTGTGTGTGTGCATAGCAGTGCCAGCACAAGCGTGCGTGCATATATGCACAGGAGAGGCAGCCAGGCCCGAGGGCTCCCATTTGGAAAGAACACTGCCCCGAGGGGCCCCAGGCCCAAGAGACCAGGTTTTCCCTCGGGTGGACGGGGTGAGCCTGCTGAATTGTGGCCAGAGATGTGTGCTGAGGCTGTGGCACATCGGATGGGGCGTGAGGGGCTGTGACCCGCGTGGATGTTTGCTCCCGTGTTTCCCTTGATACAGTACACTTGTGTGGAAGGCAAGGGAGGCTGAGGTCCATTCCCAGAGGTGGCATCCAGCAAGCAGGGGTGGGTGAGGTGGGCTAGAACTTGGGGTCTAGCACCACCACACCCAGGTTCTGTGGCCAAGATGAGCCAGCAGAGGTGGGCTGGAGGGTGCTAACCACCGGGTCTGCCCAGAAGGACCCTGATCTCTGTCTTCCAGAAACTTGGGTCTCTCAACAGCGAGCCTGCCCTGCCCTCCACAAGTTACCTGCCCTCCACGCCCAGTGTCGTGCCTGCCTCCTCCTACATCCCCAGCTCCGAGACGCCCCCAGGTGAGTGTCCCAGGGGGCCCAGTGTCTGCTACGCAGGACGGGCCCTGCCGGCCTGGGACCCGAAGTCCTGTTTCTTCAGCATCAAGATGTCCTTCTGTGATATCCCTCATTCCTGCAGTTACCAGTATGGGAGCGGCTCTAGGACAAGAAATAAACCCCAGGCTCTCTGGCCTGAACAAACAGGTGGTTGTCTTGCTTGGAGCCAGGGCTCCCAGCTTACTAGGTAGAGGGGCCGGCCCCGGCAGAAAAGCCCGTGAAACCCCATCTCCAAAATAATGGATGAAGAGCCAGAGATGTGGAAGAAGTGGAACCCCAGTACTTGCCCAAAGTGATACTTGGTCCACAGCCGTGTTTGGCTTTGCTCAGCTGGTCTGCACCTGCAGCTGGCAGGAAAGCTTCGGGGCCAGGCTCTCTCGGGGTAGGGTCCTGACTGGCTGTGCTCTCTGGGTGTGGCGCTCCGGGTTTGGCCTTCGCCAGGATAGGGAGGACTTTTCATCTTGGCGGCCGCAAGGAGTCACATCCACAGCGGCCGGAGAAGGGTGGGCATGGGTCTGGCTAGTGCGGTGGGCTGGGGCGTCCAGCGCCCTGCTCCCAGGACCCTTAACCAGGCTACCTTGTCGCAGCCCCGTCTGCCCGGGAAGCGGGGCTGCAGGCCGGCCGGCCATCCGAGGAGCCCAGCACCCCGAGCCCCACACTGCCAGCACAGTTCAAGCAGAGGGCACCCATGTACAACAGCGGCCTGAGTCCGGCCACGCCAACCCCTGCAGCTCCCACCTCGCCCCTGAGGCCCACCACACCTCCAGCCACCACCCCCACTTCTCAGGCCCCCCCGGTGGCCATGGTGGCCCCACAGACCCAGCCTGCGGCCCAGCAGCAGCCTAAGAAGAAGCTGTCTCTCACGGTAGGCAGCCCCGGTGGGGGCAGATGGGAAGGGAAGCCTGGTGCCCGATGGGGGATGGGGAGCTGGCAGGGGCCTGCTGGTGGTGCCAGTGGACAGGGGCAGTTGGCTCTGGTGGCCTTGACACCTACTTCCTGTCCTCCACAGAGAGAGCACATGTACGCTGCCCAGGAGATGTTCAAAACGGCCAACAAGATCACGAGGCCTGAAAAGGCTCTTATCCTGGGCTTCATGGCTGGCTCCCGAGGTGTGTCCTGTGGCTGCGCCTGGGGGGCCCCTGTGGGGGTGGGCACGGGCTCCTTGGCCACCAGGCACCTGCCCAGCAGCCCTTGTTTCCACAGAGAACCCGTGCCAGGAACAGGGTGATGTGATCCAGATCAAGCTCAGTGAACACATGGAGGACCTGCCCAAGGCGGATGGCCAGGGCAGCACCACCATGCTGGTAGACACTGTGTTCGAGATGAACTATGCCACGGGCCAGTGGACACGCTTTAAGAAGTACAAGCCCATGACCAACGTATCCTGAGTGCTGCCTGCTGCCCGCCCCACTCCAAGGCCCGGGACCACGGCCTGCCTGCCTGCCTGCCTGCGTGTGCCCCCACCTGCGCTGCCCCGGCTGCGTACTCTGTCATTTCTCGGGGATGTTTCAGGCTTTTTATACTAGCGTGGGTTTCTTGTTGTGTGAGTTAAGATACTTTTTTGGATTCAGTACTACATTTTTTTTAAATGTAAAGCCAAAAAAGTGACATCCTGCAAATGTTAGTGCTTGTTAAGACTTTACCTTTCCATTTTTCCCCCTGAATTCACTAGCCTACGCGTGAGGCTTCTCCTGCTCGTGTGTGCCCCATGTGCACACGTGTCCCCCCCCCCCCCCCCCCCAGGTTAAGAGGACCAAAGTGGCACCTGGTGAGGCGGGGGCGTGTGCCAGGTGGGAGGTGACGGGCCTTGCCCCACCATGCCCTCCAGGGGGTTCTATTTGTCTTTTGTAGTTGTGGAGATTTAAGACCTATTTTCACTGTAAGATGATCTGAGCATTAAAAGTTTAGCTTTTCTAAAGGAAACCCGCAGAGCTCTTTCAGGCCAGCCTGACTCTTTGCCCAGGGCCCAGCCTTTCCCCAAGCAGCTGTCTGAACACAGCGGCCACCAGGGAGTAGGGTTGGGCAGCAGGCAGGATCACCCTGAGGGCAGCCCCCTGGGGTGGGGTTGGACTTGGGGTGGGCTTGTGGCTGGGAAGGTCCCGGGGCTGAGCAGGGAGCTAGACCATTTTCCCTTTGCTTGACTCCATTTGGGAGGGAAGGAAAGCATTTCTTTAAATGAGAACTCTTGCTGCCCAGCACTCAATAACTGCCGAGATTTTGCGGGGGGGGGGTGGGGGGGTGGGGGGTGGGAGTGCTCTTGAATTCACATCTCGGAGGTAGGGAGGCCAAGACAATCCCATATAGAAAGGTTAAAAAAAGGCCTTTAAAGTTTTTTTTTTAATAAAAAAATACTCATACACAGTTTTCCAAACACAACTTTCCACTTTAAATGCTATTTTCCCCAACTGGTAACTCTCAACTCTATACTTTAGCATATCCCCCCCTCCCCCCAAAAGAATGAACTTCAAGTTTTAAAGTCTAACATCAAACGTGGTGATAGCACCCAGCATTCCTAAGAGGAGCCTGACCTCGGGGCGTATGACGTTTAGACACTGACAGGCACGTTTAAACGTAAATTTAATTTGACAGGGCATTCCACAGCTCAGCGTGTGGTGACACGGACGCCCACGGACACGCTCTTACGCTACTAAAACAGTCAACTACTCTTCTCACCAACGGAGATATTTGGCAACGGAGAGTTGTGTTGATTTTAATTAAAACAGGCTTATCTTTCACTCTTGAAAATAAGGTGGTTCTGGAAGGTGGGCACTTCACGTCGTGCTTCAGATGTCAAGATAAATACTCTGAGGGCATTGGAAGCGCTAACCTGAGTGTGCCAGGAAGCCCTGGGCAGTGACGCTGGGAAGGGTGGGAGCCTAGGCCCTTTCCCCTTTCATCCCACAAGTGACTACATTTACAACTGACCACTTGGTCCCATCCCTGTGGACAGGTACAGGGGTGAGGTGGTCCTACTTTCCCAGGCCCATGGCGGGGGTGGGGGAAGGAGGGAGGTGGAGGCATTGGGCAGTTTTGCTTCACATTAGTGACAAAGCATGGAATTGGATGGTCAAAATCATCAAATCCTCACAACTCGTCTCCCTCAGAACACTTGCCTCATCCATGGCCGGGTGTGGCCACAAGCTGGTCCTCCCCACGGGAAAGGTCTTGTTTTACTTGGACTTAGGAACTGATCTAAGTTCTTAAAGTTAGTGTTATTTGCTCAATAATAGGACTTGCTTGCAAAGGAAAAAAAATGTTTGCAGTATCTCAGGAAGATAAAATAATTTGGAATAGCAAAATGACTCAATTATAAGATTTTACCACAGTCAGATACAAAAATAAGTTAATCTGCTCCCCAAAGTGCACTGTAGAGCCAGTCCTGGTGTTTGACACGGACGCCACACTACGTGTGGGAAAGGCCCTTTTGGACGGGTGACAGTGGCCTGCCTTCCAGGTTCAGTGGTGTGAGGCGTAGACGTGTATGAACCAGTCAGTATTCTCTGAGAATGCTCAGCAGAGATGGGTCTAAACTGCAAGCCATCTCGCAGCCGCTCTGGACAGGCCAAGCGCAGGCCAGCGGAACTCCGGAGGTGGGAAGGCTGGGGAAGGTACTTTTTCTTTTGGGCCTCTGTATGGTTGTTTGTGAGGCACTGCCTGGCGAAGGGACAATGACCAGTTAGTGGGCTCGTGGTGAGTGCTAGCGGAGGCCCTGGGCCTGCAGGTCCTCCTGACACGAGGGGTCAGTCCTGGTCCAAAGGCAGAGTGCATCTGCACAAGACGGGAGGGTGGCAGGGAGCCGTGTCAGGAGACCTGGTATCCAAAACACTACTGAGCTTTTCTGACAGCAGACCTGCTGCCTGTGCCTCCCCCTCCCCTCCCCCCCCCCCCCCCCCCCCCAGTGTTCTGAGCATCTGAGCACCGAGGGTCAGACAGAAGAGCCCTAGAAGATCGGAATCTCTTCTAAGGACTACACTTCTTGGATCTCTTTGGGGTGGGCCTTTCAATTAGAAATAGTTGACAACTCACGGAGAAACAGTTCCCAGACCTGGCCTCTGAGCTGGCTGGTGCTGGGCTTTGCACTGCAGACAGCGGCGGACGCCGCGGGGGAAGGCCTGCGGGGCTGCACCCGCATCCTCATGGCCTGTGGTCTCAGCCTGGGCACTGCCCCCTGCATAGCCCACGTGAACACACCAACAAGTGTGCTTTCCTGGGGATTTATGAAACATTGAGAAGTACAGCCAAAACCTGGTAGAGAAAAGTCAAATGAAAAAAAAAAATGCTTTTTTTCCAAATTCTGGTAGGAACTGGAGAGTTGAGAGGACAGGCCTGGGAAGGCCAGCTCGGAGCTAGCCGATGGCTCAACGTGGCTTTTAGGTCAAGTGACAGGAGGAAGGGCTGCAGCCTGCTCCCGCACGCGGGGCCAGCCTCTCACAGACCTGGAAAAGACGCATCTTGAGGAAAAATTCACATTCGTTCAAAACCACAAAGGAATGCTGTGGAATCTGGTTTGCCAGGTGTCCCGGGGCGGGATCCCGGGCTGAGGCAGCACGGGGGCAGCAGCCAAACGTCAGCACAGAGGCTAAGTGGCTTTTAGAAGATCTATCCTACACATTTCAGTGAGATACACGTGTTCACATGCCCATTTGTCTTCAACTGTAACCTAAAAATCGGAGCGGGGAAGGGAGGCTGGACATCCTGGAGATGCGAGCACAGCGGTAAAGCTGTGCTGTAAGGCCGGTTTGTCCCAGGGGCTGAGCGGGGGCGTGGCTCAGCGGGCATCAGTGCAGACGCAGCATGCTGCGGGATGGCTCAGTGGTGGAGGCACTCCCTCCCTCGGAGGCCTGGGCAGGCCACGGCTCTATGAGCCGAGCCAGGTGGTCGGGCCGGCCAGTGCTACACTCCCCTCCCCTCCAGGCAGGACTGGCCGACCCACGCTGCCCCTGATCTGACCACACCGCCACCTGGCGCTATTTGCCTTCTGTGACCCTCCGCCAACACCTCCTCCTCCTCCTCTTCCCCTTGGACTTCACGGGTTCTGGGAAGGGTTTCTCAGTCTTGGCACTTCTCACCGACTCTGCCCCCAAGTCATGCTCACAGCAGTAGGACTGCCCGTCCTGGGTGGCCCGGAAAGCCGTCCCGTCATGATGCTCCTTACAGAAGGAGTTGGGGCACAGGTGGCAGAAGGAGGTAGAGGGTTTGCCACACACGTCACAGTGGTGCCAGGGACATTCCCACTTTCCTGCAAGGAAACGCACCATCAGCACGCGGGAGGGACAGGTGCAACCTCAGCACCTCTGAGAGGGGATGCGGCGTGCCGGGTGCGGAGGATGGCACCCCGCTCTCGAGCATGCTCTTCTACTGAGTTACACCATAGCCCTTTGGCTTCTTAGGAAAGATGAACTTTCTGTATGTGAATGTGCTGGGCCTGGGGTTTGAACTCTGGGCCTGGGCGCTGTCCCTGAACTTTTATGCTCAAGGCTAGCACTCTACCACTTGAGCCGCTGTTCCACTTCCCGCTTTCTGGTGGTTAGTTGGAGATTAGGGTCTCCACCTCTCCTGCCCTGGCTGGCTTTCAACAGACCCTCACCTCTCAGCCTCCTCTGTAGCTAAGATTTCAGTCTTGAACTACTGATGCCCAGCTTAAAGGGTGAACTTTCTTTTTTTTGGTCGGTTGTGGGGCTTGAACTCTGGGCCTGGGCGCTGTCCCTCAGCTCTTCAGCTCAAGGCGAGCGCTCTACCACTTGAGCTACAGCGCCACTTCCGGTTTTCTGGTGGTTTATTGGAGATAGGAGTCTCACGGTCTCTCCTGCCCGGGCTGGCTTTGAACCGCGATCCTCAGATCTCAGCCTCCTGAGTAGCTAGGATTACAGGCGTGAGCCACCAGTGCCCGGCTAAAGGGTGAACTTTCTATGTAGCCTAAATTGTCCTGAGCTTGTACTCTTGCTGCCTCGGCCTCCTGGACAGCTGAGACATGCCTAGGTGAAAAGGATTTTTGGCTCTAATCAATACCAATTAACACAAGACACCATTTTTCATTCAACTGCCAAAGAAAAGCTAATGACTGGTGCTCAAGGGCTGTGTGGTCACACATATGCGTGTGTGCGTGCATGCAATTTAAACTCAGGCCTCTTCTGATATTTCCACTCAATTCTGCTACTTGAGCTATGCCTCTCTTCTGGCGTTTTGCTGGTTAAAGATGCATCTCTGAGATCAGTTTACCTACTCTGGTTTGAACGAAGATTCTTAGATATCAGCTGCTGAGCAGTTAAGATTACAAGTGTGAATCCCAGTGCTTGGTGAAGAAGAAAAATTATGAGTTCCTCACCCATCCCCCCAAAACAAGATGTGATAAAAAAAGACACGCACACACTATCTATCTATCTATCTA